ACTCCAAACCCAAATGGTACAACCTCTTCCAGTGCTGCAAATAAATCCACTTGGAGCCTTCAAAAAGCATTTAAAAATTCACGTTTTTTAAACAACAACAAAAAAATTTAAAATGTTTTGAAAAAGACATTCTTTCCAACAGCCGATGCTGAGAAGATAGTTCTTTAGATCTTGCTCCTGCTGATTGCCAGGCCTTCTTCCTCTGCCTAGCTTTCGGGCTGAACCCAGCCTCGCCCCGGATGAGGAGAGTCCCCGGGAGAGGGGGAAGCAGAGAGAGAGCCACCACCCTTCCATGTGGGGTTCAGGGTCACTAGATCTTAATGTGAGCAGGAAATGAGGACAGGGCCCTGGAGAGGCCCCCATCCAAAAAGGAGGGTTGTTTGATTTAGGGACCTGGGCTTTGGGCAACAAATGAGAGGCCTCCACATTCCCGCTGACAATGGTCTTCCCCAAAACAGCACCAATAATGAGACCCAATATTCATCATGCCAAGCTCTGTACCAAGAGCTTTAGGACTCCATGAGGGAAGCACTGTCATCAAGCTCACTGTACTGATGAGGAAACTGAGGCATGGGAATGCTAGATTAACCTGTTAGGGTCTCACAACCAGCAAATGGCAGAGCTGGAGTTCAGAGCTGGGGTGGGCTGGTAGAACAGAGCAGCTGTGAGGGGGCAGGTGACAGAGCTCACCCCACCTTCCCCACCACTGGCTTTGCAGGACAGAGGTTGTCTCTTGGTACCTACAGATTTCAGAAAAGAAAATACAAAACAAGGACACATCATTTTTCTTTCTCGAAAGTGCTTTTTTTCTGTATTCATTAACTACAATAGAAGATGTCATCAGACTAAACACTCCACTTAGAAAAGTTTTCAGGGAATTGCATTTAAGTAAAACACCCATGTGCATTTGCTAAAGGAAATGAAAAGTGATGAGAAGAATGCCTGTCAGGAAAGGTGGAAACTTTCCAATGTGATTGCTCAACACCTGTTGGTAACCCTTCTGGAACACTCTGCAGAGTCAAGGGGGCCACCTGAGGACACAGGCAGGTGGGAAGGCTTCCTGCGCCAGAGGGATGAGGGCTCAGGCTGGGCCAGGCTGGTCTCAGAAGCCGTCCCCACAGCCAATTCCGGCTGTGCCCACCTGGGCCAGACCCCTCCTGAGAGGACCTAAGTGTGTGGCTGTCCCCATCACATGGGCTGTCTCAGCCTTCCACCAGCTTTGACTTAAATCCAGCCCCCTCTCTGGCTTTTCCCAAAAAGCCAGTCACATGGAGCATACGGGGGCCCACCTGGCCCGGGGGGCGTGCTCCAGTGCTCCCGAAAGATGCAACCAGCTGCTGGTGTTGGCTCCAGGCCCGTTCTCATGACCACACCTTTTCCTGTGTTGTTTCATCTGCCTGGACACCCCAGGCTCATGCTTGCTGGCCCTATTCTGCCCACCCTGCAGGGCTGATACCACCTCGTGGGAGCTTCTGGGGCGTCAACCTGCTCCCCCTCATCCCTGAGTCCCCCGCACCTGCGGTGCACCATCCCTGGTCTGTCCCCTGTTGTTGAGGAGTGTCCTTTTATGGTCACCCCCAGTTGGTTCTGTTCAGCCCTTCTCCGGTCAGGGTGAACTTCCCCTTGTGCCCGGGGTTGCTCTTCACCCCCTGCCCCCTCCAGCCCCAGTCCTACCTTGTTTTCCAGAAGTGCCTTGGTGGTGGCTCTCCAAGTACTTGGAGTGTGGTGGTCCTCGCAGGTAAGCGACGGGGCAGGGGATGGGGCAGCAACAAAGATTGGGATGTAGGAAGGGGAATGAGTCTCAGGCAGGAGATGTGCTGCATGGAGGAGATTTTCAGAAATGCTGGAAGCTGCTGGAGGTTTCTAGAGCTGCCTCAAGAGAAAGACTGCAACCCACTGGGCTCCAGATGAAGTGCCTTCTGCTCACAAGTTTTCCACAATGCCATAGTGGGTGAGGTTCGAGAAGTGAAGAGTCCCCCTTTCCTTCTTTGTGTCCGAATCCCAGCTCCAGCCTGCAGTGCCAGGCAGCAGGGCTCTGGGTCGTGAGCGAAAGTGACCCCATCCATCTCCAGCGAGCGGAGAAGCGGTGAGACCGCACCTGTTCTGGATCATGACTGGGGTCTGGAGCACCCTCTAGACTGACAAGCCCCTGCATCTGTCATCCTTCTGTCTACCACCTCGAGAGGTCACCAACATTGCTACCTTCTTACAGGTGAGGCCAGGCAGCCTGATGGCAGGACATGCTGTCCCATGCTCCACTCTCCCCTTGACTCCACATTTCAGACACTGGTGTTCGTTCACAAGCACCACTGAGTGGGTTCAGAGGCAAAAGGCAAAATCCAAGATTCGGTAGAATTATTCTGTTGGCCAGAGTATGGCTCCAGCAGACCCTTTGCCATGTGCATCGGCATTTCCCAAAGCACGAACTTAGATCAGATTCTTACCGCCATTTGGATTAACCTGCCCTGGAGTCTTGCTCGAACACTATCCTCTTGGGACAGCTTCCTAGCTGCTTGACAGGACACCCTGTCTTTTCCTTGGCCGACTCCTGGCGAAGATCAGCAATTTAAGACAAGCGAGGGCCTGTCGTTCAAATTCCCGATTGACATGCATTCTAGAAGACCACTAGGAAGCCAACAATCTGTAGAACTGAATGTTGTTGTTGGACAGGTAGTTATCAAGAAAACTCTCGGTCATTTCCCACAGATCAGCCCGAGAAATCTTGTTTCTTGGGCCTCCTCCTTTCCTCACTCCCCTCCACATGTCTGTGCAAGCTTAGCAGTTTGCCAGTTTCTTCCCGAGCTCTTCCATTTGATCGTATTGCAGACTCGTCCATTCTTCACTTCTGGTCGCTGTTCCACCTCCTGGGTCCTCCCCATGGATTGGATGCAGCCTGAGCCATCAGTCACTGCAGTTCCCCTGACCCAGGATTCTCTCCCCAAGTGGGATGGTCATAAATGCGCGCACCCTATGGATTCAAATCGGCAACGGCAGTGCCGGCCGCTGGCTTAGGACAGAAGCGTTTTTCAGCTTCTACCCTGCCTGAAGGAGTAGGGCTTAAAGATGATGCTCAGATGTCAAAAGATTGGAATACAATGAGGGTTTTTTTTTTGTTTTTTTTTTTACAGCAGAACAGGTTAGGAGGTGTCTGCAGTAAACCTTAGATTAACTTTAAAATGTTGATATGAAACAGCTCTTGGGTTTAAATTTTTCTATCATCTATTGATGCCCTTTACCTCAGAATTGTCAGGAATACAACTAAGGCCACCCTGCGTTTGTAGTTTCCTAGACCTACCACCATGGGAACTTGGGCCTCTGAAGGAGCCAGATGGGATGGAGCTGAAACAACATCTTTCTGGAAAGAGGTTGGTTCTAGTGCACCTGGTCACAGGAAAATCGCAAAGGGCTTCACACTGATCTGCGCCCAACACGGCAGCTGAACACCTGAAATTTCATCACAAGCAAGCACGTGGGACCTTGAGTAGGAGTGGGTACACTTTCCTGTAAAGAGCCAGACATTTAAATATTTTAGGCTTTTCAGACCATATGGTCTCTGCTGCATCTACTCATCTCTGTTGAATGAAAACCACCACAGACAAAGAGCAGATGGGCAGGATTGTGTTTCAGTAAAACTTTATTTACAAAACAGGCAGTGTGTGGGATTAGCTCCCCAGGCTAGTTTGCAGACCCTTAACCTAGAGGGACGGTCACAGTGAAGAGGCCCCTTTCCGGGCAACTCTCCCTCCTCCCTCTGCCCCCACATCAGCCCACTTCACTTCAGCTTTAAAAATACCGTAAATGCAGAGAAAACGGGACTACATTTTTAAGGCAGTGACTGAGGAATGTCTTTTTATCTGATCTTAAATCCTCAACTACCTGTTCCAGCCCAGTCTTTCTGGCAGTACATCGCAGAGTCTGGAACAACCCTCTTCCCTAATTGCACTTGGCTGTGCTAAATATAAATATGCAAGAAGGGGTTGGTGGGGGGGGGGGTGTCACCCGGTGGCTCAGTGCATCAAGCTCTCTGCTCAGTGGGGAGCCGGCTTCTCCCTCTCCTGCTGCCTGCCGCTTCCCCTGCTTGTGTTCGCTGTCAAACAAATAAGGAAGAAGGGAAAGCTAAAAACCAACCCAAATTGCCTGTGGAACCCTAGTTCATATCAGTTCAGCTGTATCTTGACAGACCGGGCTCCGGATGTTGTGAAGGGTAACTGAACTGGGACAGACTTCAGGCCCTTGGCCTCAGGGGCTCTGCTCTCCCTCCTCCATTCCCCCCGTCAGGCAGTGCCTCATCACTTAGTCATTGGCCTCAAATCCAAAGCATATTTAATTTTCAAAATGTCCCACTCTAGAGTAAGATTTCTTTTCTCCTCTCTGCTTACTAAGGCCAGCATATTTTTTTCATTTAGGTAGCTGATGGTTGAATAAACAAAATGTATGTGGGCAATCATTTAACCACAGGCAATATAGAGAGACGGCTGTGTTTGCCCATGGCCTTTAGGAATTCCAATGTAAACCTGCCCAGGCACAGAAAGGACAAGGAAAGTGAGCCAGTTACAGGCCTAATGAATGCATCCCGGATTTCTTCTAGAACTTTAGCCAAAGTGCCAGCCTGGGAACAGGCATTCCTGGGATAAGCCCATTCTCTCCATAGACCTCAGTCCCTTGTCGGAGGGGATCGTTGATACCTAAGGGTAGAGGCTATGACTCTATCTGGAGGGTGTGAGGAGATGTGCCACCCTAGACATCCAGGAGGGGAGACAGGAATGCCACTTCCTCACCTCACCTCCGAGAGCCCTGCTCCCTTGGGAACTCTGAGGCAGATCTGCGCAGGGTGAGGGCGTTTGGTCCAATCCTGGGCCGCACACCTGGAATTCCTATGCTCCAATTTCTCTGGACTCAGCAAGCAACCTGGGCTTTGGAGGGTAAGCAGCTGGAATGACTCCTGAGAAGCCAGCACAGCCCCTGGCCTCCTGCACAGCAGTTTGGGGAACACAAACACCTGGCTGGAATTTCCTTTTTATTTATCATTTTGGTAAGTTACAGACAGCAATAATTTATAAGTCACATCTGATATATTTCAGTTGTTGGACAAACACAAAGACAGAAAATTAAAGCACAGAGAGTTCAAAAAGGAGGTTATATAATACATCAGAGGAGTTAAAATTCAAAATACCCAAGACCCCACATACTAGAACAAAACATAAAGCTTAAAATTTCCCTATGAGCCTATGAGCCTGAAATTACAAAATGTAGCAACTGCCTAAAACAGAGAATCACGAGTTCCATGTTCTCAAGGTAAGAAACAAGGAATGCTTTGGTAAGTCGTCTTCACTGTTGCAACGTCTCTGCTCTGTCTCTTGAATGATTGTATATAAACATAAGCACAGCACATATTTGAGAATAAGTCTCACAAACTTGTCTTACTATTAGATTTTTCAAATATCTTTCCATTCAGTCAATGGGAAAAACAATTCAGTCACTTGAATTTTAAGTTTTAAAAAAATTAGAAGTATTTCCAGGGACTCTTAAAGCTGTCTCTGAAAGTGTAAAATGTTACCCCCTTTCCAAGTCTGAAGCATTCCAGGCTTTCCTCTGAGATAAACACAGGAGGAGGAACTTGCTCCTGACCGTGTAAATGCTCACTGGCTGCTGTGCCCCTGCAGCCTCAGAGAAGTGGTGAGCAGCTCCTGGGGACCCTGGGAGGACGGCATCCTCAGCAGTCCGGACCGTGGCCATGAGCGTGAGCATGAGCACTGCCAGACCAGCCCCGTCCTGCTTGCGAAGCCAGGCTCCCCAGCACATACTGGCCTGTCACTCTTCGGTCCGTTCTTGCTTGGGGGAGTCCAGCTCATTCAATAAATCTCTGCCAGCCGCTCCAGCTTTTGAGGCAAAAAGAACGGCTCCCTGTTTAAAACCGAGGTTCTTCAAACTTCGGGCATAATCTGCATATATAGCAGAGATGAGTTTCTGTAAGCCACAGTTAAGGAAAAGAAGGGCAGAAAGAGATGTGATTACACGCCACCAATCTCCCATAGGCAAGAAGAAACCAGCTCCGTGGGGCTACTCAGAGGGGTGAGCGGGCCCACGGGAGGGCAGCAGGGGACGAGCATGGACACGCTTCCCTGGGGGAGGCTGACTCCTGGTTGGAGGAGGTGAGGTCTCAATCTGCAGTGTCCCCCACTACTACCCTTTGCAAGCGCTGAGTGCAAAGCCTCTCCTTCTGGAAGATCTAGCTAACATTCTCCTAGACTATCTCAAAGCCTAACACAACTAAAGACTACAAAAGGAAAGAGGACTCAAGTGCATACCCTCTGGCATCTGAAAGGCTGAGTGGTGGGTGGTTTGGGGGCAGATACAGCTTAGTGAGAGGTTCTGCTAACAAAGCCTTCCTGGAGGTATTAGGTTTCAGACAGCCCTGTTTCCCTGTGCTCTGACATTCCAAATGGCCCCTTCCAACGGGAGGCAACTTCACCAGTGTCTGGACACAGAACACTAAGTTCAAGTTCAGTTTCATCTTCTGTAACAGATAAAACAAAACAAAACAAAATATATACACACACAGAGAAGACCAAGTATCTGACATACAGAAATGAGGCCACAATGTAGTAAGTCCAAGAGAAGATGTGATGAGAACAAGCAGAGCTCAGCAAACACGAACAATGGGTACCTGTACCCTCAAGCCCAATCCTTTCAAAGAAAAACATGTGACTCAAGTGCTGTCGGCAGGGGGCCACTGTGACCTGCCGGCATGACACATACCTTTGAGGTGCCTTGTCTGGTTCCACGTTAGACTGTCACTATGGATAACAATGTCTTTTTTATTTATTCCAGAATGTATATTCCAGATAAATATATAAATTTTATTCCATGGAGTACATTCTTTTAAATAGTACTATTTTTAAAGTAGCAGGCTCTTACACTTTTCCTGAGTTATTTCCTTTATCTTTTTTTACGTTCAAACAAACCTTCACAAAATTCAGAGTCCCATCCCTTTACAGCCCCACCTGCCTCCCCAACCATCTTAGGGCTGATGCCAGCGACGCCCCCATCTTCTTCCCGATTCTCTCTCATTTCTCCCTCTCTCCTGACTTTGGCCAATCTGAGTATGGATCACTCCTGATATAATACAGTTCTTGCCCAGGCAGTACGACTGAGAGGAACCCACTTGGGCCATCTGTCTCCTCCTTGGCATAATCATCCTAGCAAAGGATATCTGTGTCCTCAGTGACTCCGACTGCACCATACTTGAGACAGGCTTCCACAAACAAGGCAGCTCTATCGAAGTATCTCATGCTGCTCAAGAGAACAAAGTGAGTTAAGCTTTGTGATTTACAGCATTTGGGGGCAGACCCACCCAAGGGTGTATTTCCGTATAAAGACTTGTACCCATTCTCCCTGGAAATCTGAGTGCCAGTAAGTTACACTAGCACCTTTCCAAGCCCTGGCTCACAGAGGAAAGCAGGGGACAATGCTCATGTCCCGAACCCCAGGCTCTTTCTTCTTTTTTATTTTTTAAGATTTTATTTATTTATTTATTTATGAGAGAGAGAGAGAGAGAGCAGGGGGAGGAGCAGAGGCGCAGGGACAAACAGACTCCATGCTGAGTGCAGGGCCTGATGCGGGGCTCGATCTCACCACCCTGACACCACGACCTGAGCCGAAATTAAGAGTCAGATGCTTAATCAACTGAGCCACCCAGGCGCCCCAGCCCCAGGCTCTTTCTAATTAATATTTACAAAAACTGTGACATAGTTGAAATACACACAAATCTACAGAGATAGGACAAGTATCCACATACCCACTGTCCAGATTTAACAAGGAGTCTTTTGCCATATTTGCCTCAACCTCCCTTAGTTTTAAATAAATAAAATGTCCCCTAAGTGATAGGTATTATTTTTGGAGGGGACATCTCCCACGGGCAACGCTCTCTGTCATCCTTCCTACTGCTCTCTGGCCTTCATCTTAGTTGTTCTATTCAAAGCCGAATTCTCTGAAGACTTCTTTTATGTTCTTTTTAAATAGATACCTGTTAGGTTTGGCGAGTATACTGGTAGGAAAATAGAGATCCTAGACCAAGTGTAGATGACTAAACATGGACTGTGGACGGTTCCTTTCCCTGTAGGATTTTTTTTTTTTTTTTTTTTTAGGATTTTTTTTTTTTATAAACCTGAAAGGTAAGCTTCTCCTTTCACTCCACACAGTGAGTGTTCCATCCATCCACCAGAGTCTCAAGAGAGCACAAAGTATTCGTGTCCCTGACCAGCCACGAAGCACTCTGGGTGTACCTGTGAAGTGTCTCAGCCACGCTGAAAAAGCAGCCCAGGGAGAGGAGGACCAGGAGGGCCTTTGACTTCTGGTTGACTTGTGGAGAGCAGAGGTGGTCAACCCACCGCTTTAAAACATCGGCGCACTCTTCAGAACTTAAACGGACCTAGAAAGATGCCCACGTTACAAAGACATCCTGCACTATATAAAGAAAACTCTAATGTAATCAAAATGGGATCTGTTCCTGTGAAGCCAACACTAGGCTTGGCTTTGCTAGCACACGCCCTGACCTTGCTGCTTACCGTGGACAGCAGTGGTAACAATCCACGCCTGCAGAGCTAGGGACCTGGCAACACCTCGGGGCTGGAGTCTGGGCTCACACCCCAGCACCCCAGCAGGGCAAGGGGCCACCTGCTTTCACTTAATTGCTACCAAAGCAATCCACTGCTCCCTAAGAATGTAATTTACACTCATAAAGAACAGGAGCCTTAGAGTTGCAAGAAAATATCTGCATAGCAACTCTGCAGCCAAAAAACTGCTGCTAAATCATGAGTCCAAAGTTCAAGACTGAACTCTCTACCCCAAATGCTCAAGGCACCTCGGGCAATGACCTACTTTTGCCAGCCACGCCGCCCGGTTCCACTCGCCGTATGTCTGCAGGTAGCGGCAGGCGTCTGCAGCTTTGTCTATCAGGCAGAGCAGCTGCACCCCCTCTGGAAGACAGAACGGCAGCCCCTCGGGTGACGCCGCGGCCCCTCCCTGACAAGCCACCACCGCGTGACTGCACCCGCTCTTGTGCATTTCTGATCCACTGCAGACGCTCTTGACTGAAATTTTCCAACAAAACGCCACGGCAGAGTTTTAGAGCGCTGCCCCTCGAGTCAGGAGGGGAGGCAGGAGGGCAGGCAGCGCCGCTCGAGTCCAGCCCGCAGCCCGCAGCCCGCGAGAGCGCGGGCCCGGCGTCGGGCCTGGCGGTTATGACTACGGCCCCTTTCACACGTGACACGTGTTCTGCTTCAGATGATTAAATGATGTGGTCATCATGTAAACAGCTAGCAACAATCGTCCTATTTCTCTCCAGCGCGCAGAAAAAAGAAAAGAACTATCTTAATAATCAAATGCTTTGCTGGGAAGGGGCCTGATTTTCCAGAGGACCGACCAATGCACCCACAAAGCACGCCTTACCTGCCAGTTTGCCATTGGCGATCATGTTCGTTGCCACCAGCTTAATGGTGCTCTGGGAGGGGCCTGAGGAGGTGACAGTTGTGACCAAACAGGCTTTCAGGGAGTCACAGTAATAATGCTGGTTATCCGCACTTGTTTCCAATAGCAACTGCACAGCTCTGTCTGTCTAATGAGAGGAACAGTTCTTCTAATTATGAGACCATTTTCTTCCAACATCATCTTATTGAACTCATAATCTGAAACACTGAAGTTACAGCTTAGAGAAGACTTTCACTTTCAAAACTTGCTTGCCGATGCTTTGAACACAGCGTCCTCCTGCTTCTTTGGAACAAAGGTAAAACCACAGTCTGGTTTACAAAGATGCTCAAGAAACTGCTTACTTTAGTTTTGCATCAGTCAATTCAGAGACACCAAACCAAACCAGTCAGGTCTCATTTGACATTACGTAAGCCAAAATTCCAAGCTAGTCAACTACAAATTTTTGCTTTCTCACGAGGTTTGTTCGTCTTATTTTGAAATAAAGCCTAAATTTATATGTATACTTTCAGGGAAATACTATGATCTACCTATCCATCTGTGTGTGTGTGTGCGCACGCGTGATCTACATGATGCTCTGAAATACTAATCAACTAGCAATTCCGTGAAACATGAAAAGAGTTGTAAAAATTGCACGTACTTGACCCAAGAGAAGTAGCTGGTCTGTACATTTCCTTGTATGATCATAAGTTGACCGCTTTACTTCCTGTAGATTAACCCTTTCCAGCTGAAATTTCTAGAGTAGGAAAAAAAAGAGAAAATTCAGTCCGGATTTTAAGACTTGAGTTAAAATTTACTATATTTAATAAAATCCTTTTATAAAGATTATTTTGACTTCTGAGGTTATTAGATAATCAACTTCATAGAAATCCAACAATGTAATAAGAATTTGATTAGAAAAAACGTTGAAACAAATTCTCATTTCTGTGCGAGTTTACCGCTTACAGAAGCCGGCCCTCCATGTACTGAAGTACTCTCCTGCAGTGAAAAGACTGTGAAAGTACCTTTTTATACAAAAATTCAAACCGAATGAAAGAAATATTTGTTATTTATAGAAAATAAAATGAAAGAATAAAAATGAACCTTCTAAGTTAACAATTACACATACAGAATATTCATAAATCGGGGGCTGAAATAAAGAATAGTAAAATTCTAATGTGTATTAAAAAACTCGATAAGCATTTATGAGCTTTTCAAGTCCTGAGTCAGGCCTTTTTTATGCAGAGGTGACAATGGACTCATTTCTGTTATGTGGACCTTCGCTTAGCTGGAAAGTTTCCCAAATTTAAGATACTTAGACATTAAGTCATCAAGATGGGAGCTTTATTTTATTTATTTTTTAAAGATTTTCTTTATTTGACAGAGAGAGACAGCGAGAGAAGGAACACAAGCAGGGGGGTGGGAGAGGGAGAAGCAGGCTTCCAGCCAAGCAGGGAACCCGATGCGGGGCTTGATCCCAGAACCTGGGATCATGACCTGAGCCGAAGGCAGACGCTTAACGACTGAGCCACCCAGGTGCCCCAAGATGGGAGCTTTAAAGAGTTTAATACATGAAATATAATACCTGAAAATAGGCATTTTCACAGAGTATATCATAACATATATCCAGCGGGTTGTTCACTTTGTCCCGAGGCATGGTTTCTTTAGAGGCTGGGGTGCCTGCTGGCTTTTCCTGGGACAAGCTGTGCAGGTAGTGGGCAGCAACGGTCCAGAAGTGCAGCTCCGACTCATCGCCATAAAGCCTGAGAAGGGTGACACCAAAGTCCCACTGAGCACACACAGCAGACTTGGGCGTGGACAGGGGCTCGCCACAGAAACCTCAAGGACCAGGAGCACAGCACTGTCACATGAAAGACCATCTGGAACACTGGCCTGTGCCTGGCAGGGTGACGGAGGAAGCAGGCCGTTCTGCAGCCCCATTACTGGGTCTCAGACAATCCAGGCGCCTGAGGGCACAGTCCCTTCACACCCAAACCCCCTCTGTGCTGTGTTAAGAGCAACACGATGGTTCCAAGGCCTGGGCAATGATTACCTGCTTTGTCATCAGCACATACACCTTTCAATCCGGACCATAGCTTCACACTAAGGAAGAAGTTCCTCTGGGAAAATTGGCTAAATAAGGTATGGAAATAACTGTAATTTATTCTCTGGGGAATGGATGGAAAGGTCTTTTTTGTAAGTGACAACTCTACCATTCGGTGAGGAAGTACAGATTTTTGCTTCTAAATATAACTTACTGGTGTAATTAAGGACATGCCCTTTGTAGCTGATATTTTAAAACACAAATTTTAAAAAGCTGTCTGTAGGAGGCAGCCTTTTCAGTAGAGAAGGCCTAGATCTCATATTAAAATTGTTTTTTTCCTATTTGTATTACTAGTTTCAAAATTAACTGTAAAGCAAATCTAAAGGATGAACTGATATGTTGTTCTAAAATCTAAAAGGGTTTGTTTGGTCTTAACTAAAAACACTTAATAAGAGAAATGAGTTCATCTGAAATTCTCTCTTACACAGAACACTGAGTGTTACCTTGAAACAAGCAGGCATCTCTGCAGGAGAGTGAATTCTGGGTCGAGCAAGAGTTTCTTGATGTCACTGCAAACAGGAATCCAGACAAAGGCAAGCCAAATTTTTTAATCAAACAATAAAGGATATAGGCCAATATACTCCTGAAAGGGGAAATCTACTCAAAATTGTTAATCTACTTAGAGTTTTGCTATTTCTGAAATATTTTGTTCTTTTTGAACTAGTTACTATGCTTAGAACTGACAAAGGAGGTTACTTTGCCATGACCCTGAAATGACAAATGCTTTAAAAGGCTTACAGTATGTCTAGGCCTAGAGAACTGGTACAGGGGGGTGAGGCTCTGATTCTGGCTTACATTCTTGCAATAGTTCAACTCATGGTTTTGAAAACATGAATAGCTGCCTAACTATAGGAACAAGAATTTCACTGTTGGAAATGATTTTGCTACTCATCAGAAACAGTATATACTTAAGAAGAGACAGATTCAGAAACTATTCCAAAAAATAAAATATTTAAGGAAGAAAGGCATGTTTTTATAAATTGATATTCCTAAAACAGCCACATACAGAATATTCATAAATCGGGGGCGGAAAGATGCTCTTTAAATCTTCTCCACTTAAATTACAAATGTTAACTTTTGGATACAGAAAACAATAATTATTTTGAATTTGGCATCAATAAAACATGGTAAATTTATTAAATATTATGATTACATGTGACAGATTCTAAGATTGCAAAAAATGTATTCTATTTTACCAAGAACTCATGGACCCATATTTTTCTACTTCCTTTGCAATATTATTCCCAATATGTACTTTTAAATGCTCTTGGCTCTAGGGAACATATTAATTTCTTAGAATTGTGCACACATAGCACCTGACACAGAGAACTTATTTTAGAAAAGTCAGTTGCCACCGAAGAACCACGCTGTGCATGGCCTCTAACTTGAGGCTTCATGGGGCATCTGTGGTAGAGGCAGGCTGAGCTACGAGGATGCTCACACCACAGCTTCCAGTCCTGCCCTGACATGGGACCACAGCCATCAACACTTAGGATCTTGGTGAAGGTAGATGCTGTCACCGTAACTATTAAATAACTACGTTTTCTACAACACAAAGATTCTCGAGGGAAATAAGCCTTTGAATAGAATGGTCTCTCCTTGCGCTACTAACATTTTCTAAAACACAACTTACTTTAACTTCAAAAAGCCTAAATAATTATATTTTCTTTCTCATAGTCGTATCCTCTATTAAAACATAGCTGGGGTGCTTACTTTGACAATGAATTCAGCTGCTCTTGAAGGAGATTCTTTATTTCTTCATTTTCTGGATAATCACTGTGCAGAAAAGATTTTGAATAAGCTCATTCTCTCTTCACTTACAATCATGCATTTCTTCACCAGAAAAAAAGTTGTACCAATACAGAAATAACCTCTTTAGAGTCCCTGGTTTAAAAAGCTAGTTATAGACCAAACAGCAACTATTCAAGAACCCACCAACCACCTTTGATGTCTGCTTTTATCTTATTTAGTTAAAACAAAGAAATGAGTAAAGCACGTCTCTCTGGCTTTCAAGAAACCAGAAAATTTATCAGTGGGCTCTAAAAACTATCATGCTTAGATTCATGTTAATAAGAAACCTAGCAATGACTAAAGCAGTTTGTTCTTTCTCCTCTGCAAAACGGACATTCATTTCTCCCAAGTAGATACTTCTTGGAAAACAGATACCTCATCAACATTCTTTTTTGTATTCCCCTAACCCATGCCTATCTGTGCTCTCCACATGACATAAGTTCAGTAATACTAGTGGGTTTAACTAATAACTATTATTAACTAATAATAGTTACTGTGAATGTATCTTTGTAATGAGGCAGTGAGATTCATAAAACAGAAAATATCTCTGCAATAAGCTCATTCTTGCCACTTTAAAAGATTTTATTTATTTGAGAGAGAGAGCGGGCAAGCACGGGAGGAGGATCACAGGTAGAGGGACAAGCAGACTCCGTGGAGCCTTATGTGGCGCTCCATCCCAGGACCATGAGATCATGACCTGAGCTGAAATCAAGAGCTGGTCCCTTAACCGACTGGGCCATCCAGGCACCCCTTGTACTGCTTTTAAGTAGAATTTGAAGTCTGGCCGCAAATTCCTTTTGGCCTAATTGGACCTCTTCACACTCATCATGCCATACCCGTGTTCAGACCACAGCCGCCCAGAGTAGCTCACGTACCCCAGCTCCGCATGCCCGCCCACTCCCAAAGGCCCCAGAGAGGCAGATGAGGGATTCTTTCAGTGTGTCTGCTGTCTCTGCCTCAGCTTGTTTTTACGGTTCCAATCCTTTTAAATCCCAAAGTACAGGCACCTGCTGGTTTTCATGGGTGCCCTTCAACCCCAAGCAAATTAAGAAAGGAAAATAAAAATGGTAAAAACTTACACCTGAGAAATGTCCAAAGAATACTGTCCATTCCATGGCTGGTGTAATAAGAAAGCTTTCAAGGCAAGGGAGGCCCTTGGAACAAGGAGATAGGGGCACCACACAGGCTCTAGATAAAAATAATTAAATAAGTTCTTTCTTTTAATAAAATAGAATTTTATAGTTTTACTGTGAAGCTTCAGCTATAGAAGTTTACAGAGAAGTCAACAGAGAACAAAGTATAAAATCTGGTGGCAACTGAGTCTATTCAGTGTCATCAGTGCTTAAAGACAAACGGGCTAAGAGTGAATGAAGAGAAGAGAGATTCTCTTCATTCAAACTGATTAATAGCTCTTTCTTCACCTTTTTAATAAGTGTCCTGTACGGTATAAAAACACTGGTCCTATGTGAATAAAAGGTTCAATGCAACGACTCGACAGATATTAATAAAGCTCATTATTTTAAAATACTAAAAGTAGTATTTACCTGTATCATCTCATACCATTTGTTATCTTTGCTTCTCTGAGACTATTCAGCTAACACAGCCCATCAACTTTGAGCTTGTTACTAGGGGGATCAGGTCACCTCTGATCAAACGTATCCTCAGGTCTCACTTACAAGGGCAGCTCTTACCTCCCTAGACTACGGGCCCTAGCATCCTCTAAGTGCAGCAGTGGGCTTACTTAGGACACAGTAAACAAGCTTTGCTTCTCTTTCAATATGTTCTAATGCGAGGAAGCAGAGGACCCGAAGGTCCCAGCGCCCAGACAACCATGCCGTGGCTACCTTACACAGATAGCCCCACTCGGTCAGACACTCAATCTGATAAGAGTTCTTTAGGACTTAATTAATTTTAACTAACTTAAATTTCAAAATTAATACTTGATTCAGTCATTGGATAACTTTTATGTCTACTCAGGAATACATAACTACTTTTTCAGTTGTCAATTTTATAAAATCCAAATACAGCTTAAATATTTCTGCTGAAAACGTGTCCCCTAAATTGATCCGTGTTTTTGTTTTTGTTTTTTTTTAAAGATTTTATTTATTTCTTTGACAGAGGAAAGCAGCAGGCAAAGGGAGAGGAGGAAGCAGGCTCCCCGCTGAGCAGGGAGCCCAACGCGAGGCTCGATCCCAGGACCCGAGCCGAAGGCAGCCGCCTCACCACTGAGCCACTCAGGCACCCCATGATCCGTGTTCTGATGTTAAATACACCCTGGATTTTGAAAACTGAGCATGCAAAACTGTGAAATATCTCATTAGTAATTTTTAATACTGACTATATGTTGAAATGACAAAACTCTGGATATACTGGGTTAAATAAAATTTTTTTTTAAAGATTTTATTTATTTATTTGACAGAGAGAGAGAGAGAGAGAGCAGGACAAGCAGGGGGAGTGGGAGAGGGAGAAGCAGGCCTCCCGCCAAGCAGGGAGCCCGATGTGGGGCTCGATCCCAGGATCCTGGGATCATGACCTGAGCCGAAGGCAGATGCTTAACAGTCACTGAGCCACCAAGGCACCCCCCATTCACATTTTATTTTTTAAAAATTTTATTTATTTGAGAGAGAGAGAGAGTGAGAGCAGGACAAGGGGGAGAGGGAGAAGCAGGCTTCCTGCTGAGCACAGAGCCTGATGTGGGGCTCGATCCCAGGACCCTGGGATCATGACCTGAGCCAAAGGCAGACACTTAACTAACTGAGCCACCCAGGGGCTTTTTTATAGTGGGTACCAGAAAATGTAAACATACGTGGCTCACATTATATTTCTGTTAGACAGTACTGCTTTAGAAAACGTCATTCTATGTAGTTAGCTAAGTATTAAATCATAGATAAAATATCTTATGTGGACTTCCCAATTTCAGAGTCAGAAAATGGTCAGAAATATTTTTAATATTACTTTTTGTTTGCACCCAAGAGTTTTAATATTGATTCATTACAATCACTTAAACTGCGGTCCATATTCAGAGGTCCTCTGGTTACTCCCTATCCTGATAGCTATATTCTGCCTGCACTGGCTTCTCATGTCTCCTGAGTCTCCCTCAATCTACAACAGTCCGCTCACCTTTTTGTCTTTGGTCTTACACAACGTTTTCATTTTTGAAAAGTCCTGGTCTGTTCAATGTCCTAGGAAATGATCTCCATTGAGCATTCAGACTCAGGCTAAACATTTTGGGCAAGAACATGACACAGGGGATGTTGCGTACTTCCCACTGCATCCCACCGGAGGGAGCATGTTAGTTGGCCTCCTGGTAACACTGTATCTGATCATCTAGTTAAGGTGAACTCATGGGCTCTCTCCCAGTCAGGGCACCTTTCTCCCCTTCACAATTATGGCGAGATACTGTGAGACCGAATTTCCTATTTCCCAACGCCCTTCCACCCAGTAATCTGACACCCACTAATGATCCTGGCTTGAATCACCTGTTACATTAGGAATTGGAATTGGTGATTTTCTAATTCCATCACTCTGTCTACATTTATCAATAGGCATTCTTCTGTAAAAATGAGCTTTCCCTTCCTGCCCAGGCCCCTTCCTCTTTGTGAATATTACTATGTAATAATGGATTAAAAAAAAAAAAAAAGTCCAACACTGATACCAATACAACTGTTATTCTTTACGATGCTCAGACTGCCCCAGATTTGGCAGTGGAAGCCTCTAAATGCTAGTTTCTGTATGTTTGATTTTTAATAATATATGTTATTTCTCCAAAACCAAACATTGTTGATAGCATCCCCATGAGCCCGAACAAACTGAAAGTGAACTCTATTCCCTCCTACCTTCAAATGCATTTAGATCTTTCTTCTCAAAGGCAAAGATCAACCATGAAAAAGTAATAGGTGATCGTCTCCCAGCTGGAGAAACTCACCTACAAGAGTAATTCACTTCCGGAAATTACAATTAGAATGGAAAGGCAGCTGGCATCACTGCTCCTTCTCTCGCACTCATTCTGCTTACTCTGGGCTACAGCTATCTGAGGTGTTAAACAGAAACACGCCCAGACTGCTGGCTCCCTATGTGACAGCAGTGCAGGGAATCAGGAACCCAAGAGCCAAGAAGAACAGTAGGAAAACTGCTCCTCCCTCACCTGGTGGCCCACGGCATGGTGAGCAGGCAGTTGGGGAAGGAGAGGACCCTGCTCGGGGGGTTTCATCACTGTGATGCAATGGGGGAGCGGGGGAAGGGAAGACAAGGGACACGACTGACATTTTGGGCAACACCATTATTCACTGTCCAGGTTGTTCCCTGCACTGCATGCTGTTTAGTAATCCAGATGCCCCCCAAACACATCTGCACATCCTGACACATTTCCAAACAGCCCAGATGAAAACCACTGGAAATGAGTAGAAAGCAGAGGCAGACGAAGAGGCAAGGTCTGTGTATAAATCTGATTATAGAAAGTTTCTTTCTATGAGTGCTCCCTTACGAAAAATGTGTTGTTCGGCATTGGCCCGAGCAGCTGTGAGGAAGTTGGACTGGACAGTCTCGAACACCCTGCAGATACTATGTAAAGTGTGTGGAAACTGCAATAAACTGGAACGCTATTAAACAAGTCTCACCCTCTTGGACTCCTTCTAGAGGCTGCTAGAAAACGTATTATGATTTTTTTATGCTGTTTTATGACCCTGATAAGACACCAGACAAGAAGGGTTCTCCAACTCAAAAACAGAGTTCCTCTTCTACGTGTGTCTGGCCTTCCCCTTTACTGAGGCGGGGAGGGCTGAGACAAATGCAAACATGGGGGCGGAGGGGAAGGAAGCGGGCCATCTAAGCTGTTCTAAGAAAACTGACAGATTTGAACCAGTATTTTAGGATATTCTCTACTTGTTATTAAGGAGAATTAAAGGAAATTTATTAAATATATCACTGCATATAACCTAAAATGATTTTTATCCCATATCAATAAGTCCAAACTCTATTTCTAATTCCCCAGAACAAAAATATATCAAATATATTTTTCCAAGACCAAGTCAGCATGCAACTGGAGATAAACACATAGACATCTTTTTGCTAAGTCCATAGTTACACACACCACCATTTTTATTCTTTAACATGTATCGAATGTTGTTCTGACTTTAAAGGTTAATATTGAACTTCCCTGTTACTATTTCAAAAATTTTCCCTTTCTGGCTGAGGCTGCAGCACTACAGACTGGGTAGGAATGACTTTTTTTTTTTTTTTCTTGAAAACTTGAAAAGAAAATGTAATCTAAAATCTGTCTGCAGGTCAGATGTTCAAGTATGGTGTTAATGATGGGCTCCAATTCTGTAGTCACTTTAAGAAAAAGCTACCCTGGCTTTGGTAGATTCAAATTTTAAATTAAAGGGGGATAGAAAAGCTTTCCAAACATTTTGATTACATTCGCAAACCTCTTTAACCTCGAACCAGTAGCCGAACTAAAAGGAAAACCACCCCTGAAGTTCCCTCCATTTCCTTAATAACTAAGTTTGTCTCGGAAGGAAGGAGACGCTGCCATTTCTGCAGCGTGAGCAAGCACGTCGGGCACAGACACGGGAAAGCGCTGCACAGCTTCAGGCTTCGGCACAGGGCGGTCAGGGTCACATGGAGGGGAAGCAGCGGTACCGAAGCCACTGGCAGGGCTGGGGCAGCGACAAAAACAAAAGCACACCTAACACAACTTCAAGGGAGCCCAGCCAGGATCGGCAACAACTTGGAAGTGCCTCGAGCACGAACACAAAGTGAAAGCACAGGTTTTCAAAACGTTGCTGCCTCTGAAGGTGCCGAAGGCCGACCCTACAAAGGTACAGCAGTCCCCAGAGCGGACTGCCCTATGCTGGAACCCAGTGACTCAACGAGTCTCTTCTGAAATTGTTCAGCAGCCTGGTGTGCACACCAAAGCGATGCCTGGAGAATACTTAATGCAGGAAGTTTCCTGCTTTGCTCCCATGAGGGTCAGAATGTCTGTCTCCACCCAAAAGTATCTGGCAAGGATGAACATTGCATTTCATCAGACGAAAGCTGACTTTCGAACTGACTGATGGGTGCATTCATAATCCCATTCTTTTTTTTTTAAGTCACATATGAGGTTATAGTTACTAAAATGTTCCTCATTCTGGTAAAAAACAATCTCAAAACCACCTTACAAAAAAGGTACAATAGCACAATCGTCTATTTTATTTTGAGAGGCATCAAAATTCATGACACTCAGAACACTTTCCAAAGTGACTTTTCAATGATATACGCTTACCCTTTTCTTTAAGTAACCTCTATGGCCAACGTGGGGCTCCTACTCACAACCCCGAGACGAAGAGCTGCATGCTCTTCTGACTGAGCCAGCCAGGCACCCCCAGCGATATATGTTTGCAAAAGATATAAAGCTCATTATTAAAAAGCCAGTAGCACCTTACCACTAGATTTATGTCCTCTGATGAGTTCTCCTAAATTCTTTTTTTTTTTTTTTTGGTTAAAGATTTTATTGAGTGAAAAAGAGAGAGTGTGCATGAGCTGGGGGGGAAGGGTCAGAGGGAGAAGCAGACTCCCCACTGAGCAGGGAGCCCAATGTGGGGCTCGATCCAGGACCCTGGGATCATGACCTGAGCTGAAGGCAGCCGCTTAACCAACTGAGCCACCCAGGCAGCCCTGAGTTTAACTAAATTCTAAGTGAATCATTTTTATGTAAACATCTCTGATCTTTTGACAAAGCATTCCTCAAAGGGTCAAAGAAGGGGCACTTGCCAACCTGGAGCTGGAGAATGACTGACATCAGCAGTTACAGAGTATAGCATCTCAGTGGTAAAACACTCAAGCTTGAAGTTAATCTATTTCCTTAAACTCAGATTGTTAGAAAGTAAGACTGAAATGAAACAGAAGACAGCAGCCTGTGCAAAATAAAGAAGGTGTCACAGAGCCTTTCGTTGGCGCTCCATACCGGTTAACTCTTGTTCATCCATTCTAAAACAAGTGGACTTCATAGACATCTCCAGGACTCTGATACACCCATCATCTGATGCCAAGATCACTTTATCTGATGTACACCAGTCCACATCCAATATCCGAAAGGTCACATTTCTTCCACTTCTTAAACTGCTCACCATCTGAACCTTCAAGAGTGAATTTGGGCGTCATTTTCAGAACGAAAAAGATGTTTATCACAGACAGTGCCAGTGGCAAAGACCCAGTGCAAGTTAAAACAAAAGTCTTTGGCAATCTCTCTTCCACATGCAGACTGAATTTTGAAGATCCCAAAGACAGCGATACCATTAAAAGCAAGAAAATCATTTTAAGAAGCTTGACAAACCCATTATATAGGCTTCATTTCTAAATCAGGAGGAAGAAAAAAATTACAGCTCCTGTGACCAGCAGCTTGGTTTGAGTGTTCCCTCATGGAGCTGGGCCTACCTCTTTAGTATCCCACACTTCAGCACCATCATTGTACATTGCTATTAATTTCTGGTTTCCTTTACCAGGAGCAAAACGAATCTTCCTCACCCAGCTTCTGTGTGTAGGTATTCCTCTGAGGAAAAACAAACAAAAACAAAACACCAATATAAAGTAGGGTAATACCTTGTCACTGGAAACTATGTCCAACAACTCTTTCTAGGTCTGCTTTTGACAAGGTCTAGTGATGTGAGAACCACTTTACTATCTGGGACAGGGGACCCATCTGACAGAAAAGGTCAGCCCCTTAAGGACGATGGAATAATATCGCAACACTTCTGCACGGGTCACCTGCAAATAAGCGTCTCCTATGAATGGCCCAGAGCTTGGCTCAAGGCTCTTCCTCCCAAGTTCAGCGACAAGAGACCCAAGGGTCCAAGCTATACCAGGTCACAAGCCTCCAATGGAACCATATCAAGAAGTTACTTTTTTTTTTTAAAAAAACAAATAATATTGTATTTTTTAAAAAAGATTTTATTTATTTTATTTAGAGAGTGAGAGAGAGAATGAGCAAGGGCAGAGGGAGAGGGAAAGGGAGTGAAGCAGACACCCCGCTGAGCGCAGAGCCCGAGGAGGGGCTGGATCTCAAGATCCTGAGATCATGACCTGAGCTGAAACCAAGAGTCAGATGCTTAACCAACTTAGACACCCAGGTGCCCCAAATAATACTGCATTTTTGAATCATACCTGGATACTCTGCCTTTCAAATCCCAAAAATTTAAATTTCCATCCATATCTCCAAGAACTAATGTGTCACCTTTCCAAGCGATGCAGGTAATACTACCCATACTTCCCTAGAAAACAAAAGCAACAGATACACGATACACCTAGTTTTCACTACTTATAAGCCATCATAGCAGAGAAATGTTTTTACTCAATAAATGTGATAAAATAATAAAGATATTTTAATAAAAACTGTAAAAGGTTTTGCTTTGGTATGAATGCCATCAAACATGAACAGACTTGGGACACTAAAAGAGCTACCTAGCTTATCAATTTCAACTACAAAGAAACAAGAGATTTCAGTTTGATGGACATTAAGTTATCTGAACTAAACTTATAGAGAAGAGGTACTTTTTGAGGAAGAAATACCTTAAAGAAAGCAAATTAAAAGCAATAAAGAGAAGGAAGGAAAACCCTTTCCAAAGGGCCCTTGTCTCCAACTTCTCACTCACTGCAAAAGGATAAATCAATCTGTTCCAGAGGAAACTCAGAGCTGTTTCATAATGAATTGTGCAGCAGTTTTTCTACTGAAAAAGGATCTAGAGCTTCACTGATACCTTCTGGATAATGACAGTGAAAAGATACTGTAAATTAAAGGCATCTGCACAGTCTGAGTTAACAGAAAGCTTTGCAAAGAAGGTACATATGGAAACCCAAGTAGAAGAATGGAACACTACTGCAGTAACTCCAAAGTGTGTGTGTGTGTGGCGGGGGAGACGGGGAGAAAGGAGCTTGCAGCTCTATCTAACAAATGCACAGAGGTAGTGTGACAAAGACTATCATAAGAGCCTGGGCTCTAGAGTCAGCTGCTGGGGCTCGAATCTGGGCTTCATCAGGTGTATTTGTTGTGTGGCTTGGGGCACATTTACTTAATCTTTCTGCATCTTGGACTTATCATCAATAAAGGAGGTTAAGCTTATGAAACTTGAGGAGTTCCTACTAGCATTAATAAATTTATATAGGAAAGGGCTCAAAACAATGCCTGCTACACAGTAGTCAATAAATGCTCACTATTAAATAATATTATTGCTCAATTACTTTTCTACTTATAAAAGAAATCTTGTTTTTTGCATTTATAAAACAAAATAAAAATTCACATGCTTCGTTCATAGTGGGAAAGCTCCAGGTTGGCCAAATTGACTATTAATAGACTGGCCCATGCATCAAATACTGCATAAATCCTAGTGGTAGTTAAGAAATAAAAGAAAAAAAATGGATTAAAAATGAGTATTTGAAATAATTCAATAATAAAAAACTTAAAAGTTACGTTAAACAGAATTCTATATAATACGAAGCCGCACTTCAAGATCTGATTTCCATTTTCCTCACCACATTAACAGAATGTTTAAGCGTCTGCCTTTAAGTTTACTTTTTTAGTCTTGAAAACTTTCACATTTTATAATCTTACTTTCTAACCTCTAAAATTAAAATATTAAAGCTTAAATAAGCTCAGAAATCAGCTCAGAATTACAAGTGACATATTAATACAACTACATAATTAAATAATCCAGACCTTTCTACCTAAGAGTTTGTTGACGGGCTACAAGCCATATGCAGATACCAAGGGGCTTTTAGAGGATGTGGCAAAAAGTTGCTTTGTGGCTCCGAATAATCCCAAAGAACCAATTTAAGGTTAAAACTCAGTAGAGTAGGGACGCCTGGGTGGCTCAGTCATTAAGCGTCTGCCTTCGGCTCAGGTCATGATCCCGGGGTCCTGGGATCGAGCCCCGCATCGGGCTCCCTGCTCCACGGGGAGCCTGCTTCTCCCTCTGCCTCTGTCTCTCATGAATAAATAAATAAAATCTTTAAAAAAAATAAAATAAATAAAAAAATAAAATAAAACTCAGTAGAGTATTATTAGTTGACACTGTTATGTTCCTATATACAAGATACGATGTTCAGAAGGCTGACAGCAAAGCAGAGATATTCATTCTCTCTCACTGTTCCAGTTTTCTGAATAAAGGCAGTCAACTACAGATGCTCCAAAACCTAAAATATGCCAAGATTTCCTCTTCTTTTTACCATTTTTATATACTCTATAGTTCTGGGGCCAAAATTCAGAGGGAAAATTTCAACTCAAAGCAAATGTTTAATACTTTACATTTGGGAGGAGGGTAAGATAAATATTGGATTAAAATGAGCAAACAAAACCTCTGCCTAAATACTATATGACAGTCCCTAGAAAATATTTAAATTACAGAAAATAAAAAAAAATGAACCAAAGCCACTTTCTCACGTATCATACAGTAGCTGCTCAGATACCTTTCCCTAAAACCAACCTGCTCTAAAGTACGTACTAATTTCACTGGAGGCTGGATCTGTGTTAGGCTGCTTATTCCCTGAGAAAGCTGCTTCTAGCTGTGGAATAAAAGGATCTGGCAGGCAGATAGAGACCTGCTATACCCTGACTTTGGACCTCCACAAAAAGAGACAGAATCTTAAAAACTGTGAGGCACAATTACCATCCTGAAAAAAACTCTTATAAAAAGGAAAATTACGGTCTAATGTCCAAAAGCTTTAAACTTTTTCTGGGGTGAGGAGGAATTGGCATCTCAAAAAATTACTGGGTTGTTTCTACATCCTAATCGCAAGTGTGAAGTGATCAGAGACAGACGGAGCTGCCTGTGAGTGGCACTAGAAGAGTTCAGATGGGGCCCTCTCTGGGTTTCTAGAGGAGGAACTCTTTATATTCCTAAGACAGCAAACTGATTTTTCAAAGGACAGCTACATTAACACTGCAACTCTTAGGTCTGCTCTCCCTAGCAGTTTTTCTTTCTATACACTTAAACTAAGTTCCTTTTCCTATTATGACCAAATATTAACCTTTCTTATTCGCATTACTACTTTCACCCTTTCAAACTAGTGACAATGAGAGAAAGTTCAAAACAGACATTACTAAGTCTCAAGTATGACTTGTTCTATATAATAGTAAAAAAAAATTGTAAAAATGAAACTTTCACATGTTAGTTTCCATTTTTAGTAGAGAAGGTGGTTTGGATGGCCTCAACTCTTCTCATGTTGTCTATAAGGAAGATGTGGCAGCAGCCTCTAAGAGACCCCCACAGATCCTGCCTTGTTGTATTCATGTCCCTTGGCAGTCACCTCCCAAATGAACAGGACTGACCCATGAACCAACAGCACACTGAGGAACCGACGGAGTGCACTTTCTCAAACTAGGTCCTAAAAGACACTGCAGCTTTCTTTGTGTTCTCTTGGATCACTCACTCTGGAGGAAGCCAACTGCCATGTGGTGAGGACACTCAGACAGCCCTATGGAGATGCCCCTGTGAAGAAGAACTGAGGCCACTCATCAATAGCCACTGTTACTCTGCAATGGTCATGTGAGTTAGCCATCCTGGAAGTGGACCCTCCCACCCCAGCCACCATCCTGACTACAACCTGTAAGACTCTGAGCCACCTGCAAAATATAGGGGTTGGCATTCAACTAAAACAGTCTATTTTTAGACAACAATTTTAAATAAATATATTTTATGAAATCATCTCATGCCTCCACTTAGCCATTATAACAGTATTATTTAACAAAAACATTTTCTTATCTATCCATTAGAAACAACCTATGAGATGCATGCGGACACAAATGAACTACAGAACCTCAGTCAGAGGATTTCACAAGGTCCTAGAAGGATATATATATATACATTAGTAAATATTAATAATGCTACTACACTTACAACCTGATTACTATTACCCCAAAATGATGCTAGACTGTAAGTCAAATCCTCCAAGGTAATGCCTGAAGTGGAAAGAGGAGATATACTGGAATCAGACAGACAGACAGACCTCAGTTTAAAACTGCCATGTCACTAAGCTGGATAACATTGGGAAAGTTACTTACTCTCCCTTGATTCTGTCATAGTTAAAATGGAAAGAATTCCTTATGGATTATTAAGGGGATAAAAAAGTAAGTAGCACAAGGTAAGTATTTAAGTAGTTACAATGTTATTCTCTAGCAGTATGGAATAATATCTCCTTATATAGTCAAGTTTATTATTTACATTAAACTTTCCTGAAATAGCTTCACAACTTAACTATGGCTTCACTGGATATGGAATCAACAAAATCTTTGATAAGAACTCTTCATGAAGACGTAATCAAGAGTTGGACTCACATCTGGTGGAATCCGAGCACTATCTTTCACTGAGTTTCCTTCCACTGTGAGATGATAAACTTGGCCATCATTATCGGTAAACACAAAATGCTCCCGGGCAGAGATGTTCTGACTGAGTTCAGATTTACTTTCTGCCTCCTGCAACAAGCTTTGGAATAGAGAGGAATAAGATAAAGATATTTCTTTTCTCTAGAGTGACACACACATTAATTACCTTGCCCAAAATACAGATGCATTAACAGGAGGTCCAAAACTATTTACAAAAAAATAAAAAGCACTGACACTAATCTTTGCCCAGCTAATAATAGGAAAACACAAATTACTTCCAGCAGGTCATTTACCCCATACAGAGGAATGCAGTCAACTAGACTTCACACAAGAAACTTGTTCACTATTTCTGCTGCAGAAAGAGAGGACTTACCTTGACCCATCATTCTCTCTGAGGTTTTTTTATTTGTAAAACTGGTGGGGATGGAGATGGGGACAGTCCATATAAATCTAGCATTCTCTATATATTTTCTTTGGTGTATATAAATGACAATATGATCTATCTGGATGTTCATGCTACATTCATTTGAATTCCAGAAGCTCAAGTTTAGGGAACATCTGGCTAGTGAGAATGATCACGCTCGCTAACGGAGGCTGACACGTGGATATTATCGTATGCGTTACTGACTGCACTAAGCAATGAAATAATAAAATTAACTCTTCAGTCTTCCAGGTATGCACTGAAACATAACAAGGTACTACAGATGCCTTTGGATGACAGACACCTGTCAAGTTCCCCACCATGACACTGGTATCACAAATGACAGAGGCAGGAAACAGCACACTGCACCTGATCACGGAGGATTCCACGATGCTCAGCTCTGTGTCTGAGACCACGGTCTGGCGGGCCATGGCCTCTCGGGTGGCCAATTGTTTCTTTCTCAGGCTCTTCAGGTTGTGAGATGGGGACCACTCCTGAGAAGCAAAGACAGGCACACCTACAAGTGCTCAGCTTACTGCTGTCAAACAATCTTTCCAGAACAGCTGGGCATTCTCTAGCCACTGCTCGGCATTACTTATTATCACTGCACATGAATTCACAATTTGTTCTTAGGTTTTATCTATTTATAGAAAGGCTGAACAAATGCATTTAATTAGTGCTTAAGGCAGATTTTAATAATCTACCCTCCACCTCCTTCTACCTCTAATCTTTAATGAGAGCTTAAGGTAGAAGAGTTTAATGGCAAACTTCCAAAAGGTCTAACTTTTTGATGCTTTCTTTTTTTTACAAAACAAAAATAATAAAGGCAATTATGGTGTCTTTTCTTCCCTACCTCTAGCCCTCCCCCCAAAGGTGCATGGGGTGAGATGATCATGTTCCTCCAACCATGGATCACTGTCCTCCACAGATCCACCTCAAATCTCTCATTTGATTTATTTATTCTTTTATATTCCCGCCTATTCTAATGCCTTCAATCTAATATCCTCTCATATGCATCAATTTTTCACAGTAGTTATTTTACATGCATGTATTCGTAACTTACATAAACAGAACTTCATCATATCCCACCGTTTCTAACTCTTTTCATTCAGCACAGTGTCAGTCCCATCTCTGTAGTTTCTGCATGCTACCAAAGACTCCTCGAGTGCATCCACCAACCTTTAGTCTCTCTGTTCTCCCAACAGAGAATACCCTGATTGCCCCCAAACTCTCTGACAAACAACACTGCAGTCAATATCCCCACAGAAGCTCCTTTTTGACCAGGGGCTGAAGAGCTGGTGCCCAGGGGATGTCTGTTTGCCGAGGCACTATCAGTCTGCTCTGCAGAGTGCCTCACCGGTCTGCACTCCTACCCGCATTACATAAGGATTCCTGCAAGCTACACTACACCCACGTCGGATGTCATCTGGCTTCCCAGTTTTTGTTAGTCTAAAAGTTACACCTTGATTATTTTATTTTGCCCATCTCTAAAAACTGCTGAATTTGACTATTTCTTCAGATGCTTGTTGGCCTTTTAGGTTTTCCACCATTCGTGAACTGCTCCTGTACTCTGGCCCTCTTTCTACTGGGGTTCCTGTCTTTTCACTGTTTATGTGCAGGAGTTCCCATAATCCTAACTCCCTACAGGGACTAGTTAGTCCTTTGCTGGTTTCGGACATTGGTAAATTTCTTTTCCCAGCTTGTCTTCTCTATTTAACTTTGACACTGGTGTCCTTCATTGAAGAGAAAGCATCAGTCTTGATTAATTAAAAGCATTTTTTCTTTTTTTGCCTTTTGGTTTGAGCCTCTGATGTCCTTTCCTGCCCTAGAACAGAAAAATAGTCTTCTTTTTTTTGACTATATTAATTTTATAGCTTTATATTTTTACATTTAGGTCTTTAATCCCATGGAGCCCACCTCTGAATATGGTATTAGGTAGAGATCCAGTATTTTTCTCCATAAAGTGAGACCATTTTCCCAGTACTGTCCTCTTTTTTTAAGGTTGAGGTAGCTACCATGACCTTTATTCTCTCACAAATCTTTTTATGTTTATCATGTTTAAACATGAATATGTTTATCATGTTCCTCAAAATATCGAAGTAAAATCTGAATTGGAATTGCACTAATGCAATATTTGCTTAACCCATCCAAGAAACTAAAAGTTATCTCCATGTACTTAGATCATCTCTCAACACACATTTTTAGCAAGGAAATACATGACACTAATGATTTCAATTCAAGCAAAAGAAAAATATTCACGACATACAGAACATGCCTAGATAAACTAGTTCTTCAGTTGTAACTTACCAAAGCAGTTATTGCAGGGAAGTTTTTGGACATTTCTCTAAGAATGGTACAAGTCCTAACATCCCATAATTCGAGGGGTTTATCTTTGAATACAACTGCCAAATACTGCCTAAAATAAACAAAAATACTAAATAAGCCCCCTTTTGCAACATTTTCACCATAAGTAATACAAATAAAAAGTTGAGTAAATCAGAAAAGTCACATAATGTATTCTAAACATAGACCATATAAATTAACACTTAGTTCTCATGATTAATAGTCATTAAGAAGGTAAAGCCCTAAGATGACCTTTGAGAGCCATATAGCCATAATTAAGCAAGGATCCCAGGTCAGAAGAATGAAAAAGGAACAAGTTCATATTTTACCAGTTTATCAATTTATGGTAACCCTCCCAAGGCTTCATTTTCTCACACATGACATGAGAATACCACTACCTATCCCAATGGACTGGTATGCAGGTTATGGTAAAAATTAAATGAAAAGTAAAGGTTTTCACAAAGTTTCTATTAGGCTGACACTAAGGAAATGTAACCGAGCAAGAAAATCCCTACACTCAGTGTACCAAAGGACTTAGGTTCTCCTGCTCATACAAAGTCTGCCACTTGATAATTATGTGGCCTCAGATAAACCATGTAATCTTTTTGAGTTTTATTCTACTTATCTTTAGAATGCTGTTAATAACATCTGTCTTACTCCCTCACTAAATGCCCTAAGAATAAAAAAGGGGGGGAGGGGATAGCACACATGAAAGAATTTTATACATCATTATGGATTATACAAAGGCAATATGTTACATTTTTTATTATATCTAACATAAAGACATTAATGGCTTATATATAAATAACTAATGTAGGGCGCCTGGGTGGCTCAGTTGGTTAAGCGACTGCCTTCGGCTCAGGTCATGATCCTGGAGTCCCTGGATCGAGTCCCGCATCGGGCTCCCTGCTCAGCGGGGAGTCTGCTTCTCCCTCTGACCCTCCCCCTTCTCATGTGTTCTCTCTCATTCTCTCTTTCTCAAATAAATAAATAAAATCTTTAAAAATAAATAAATAAATAAATAAATAATGTAAGACAGAGTCTGGTGAATGCGACAAAGATTCAGTATGAAAGAGGAGATTTATTTTGACAACTAGACAATGGCATTTTAGGCAGAGTTACAAATGTGACAAATGGCCAAGACAAGAAAGGACACAGAGTGGAGGAACATGCTACTTGAAATGTAGAGAATGGGGCGCCTGGGTGGCTCAGTTGGTTAAGCGACTGCCTTCAGCTCAGGTCATGATCCTGGAGTCCCGGGATCGAGTCCCGCATCGGGCTCCCTGCTCAGCGGGGGTCTGCTTCCCCCTCTGCCCTCTTCCCTCTTCCCTCTCGTAATCTCTGTCTCTCATTCTCTCTCTCAAATAAATAAATAAAATCTTTAAAAAAAAAATGTAGAGAATGAAAGAGGTAGCATCATGAGAAAGAAAATCGAAGTGTGAATTTTGGATCACATTATAAAAGACTTAAAACACCTGAATAAGCCATGCTAGATATACAGAGATTTATTCTGCAGAGAATAGTGGATCACTGAAGGTTTTAAAGTAGGGGGGATAAAGTGATCAGTTGTTTTAGAGGTATTAATTTAGCAGGTGTGTATGGAGTTAAAACTGGAAACGGAAGAGACTGAAGTCCAAATAGTCTGTCATGTTTAAACATGAATATGTTTATCATGTTCCTCAAAATATCGAAGTAAAATCTGAACTGGAATTGCACTAATGCAATATTTGCTTAACCCATCCAAGAAACTAAAAGTTATCTCCACGTACTTAGATCATTTCTCAACACACATTTTTGAGCAATTCTCAAACCCTGTAATCTCAGGACTCTTTTACATTTTGTTTATTTTTAAAGATTTTATTTATTTATTTGACAGAGAGAGACACAGCGAGAGAGGGAACACAAGCAGAGGGAATGGGAGAGGGAGAAGCAGGCTTCCTGCCGAGCAGGGAGCCCGATGCGGGGCTCGATCCCCGGACTCTGGGATCATGACCTGAGCCGAAGGCAGATGCTTAACGACTGAGCCACCCAAGCGCCCCTCTTTTACACTTTTAAAAATTACTGAGGACCCGCCCCCAAAGAACTTTTGTTTACGTGGTTGATAACAACTGACATTTTGCATATTAGAAATTAAGTCTGATAAATTAAAAACTATCCATATTAATTCATTTTAAATTAAAAAATAGAAAACAACTAGCAAGATGGTAGATTTAAATATAAGCTGCATTGATAATTACACCCAATATGAATAATTTAAACACTGCAATTTGAAACACAGATTACCAAATAGAAAAACAAGCCCCAACTACATGCTTTCTAGAAGATATCAACTTTAAATGTAAAGACATAGATAAGACACAAGAAAAAGGTAAGAAAAAGATACACTATGCAAACACTAATCAAAAGAAAGCTGGAGTGGCTATACAAATCAGACAATCTGACTTACTTCTGAATATACTACCAAAAATATAGAGGATATTTCACAATGATAAAGAAGTCAATCAAAAGGACAGAACAATACTAGATATGTATATACCTAATAACAGAGCTTTAAAATACCCAAAGCAAGAACATGAGCTCTTCAAAAGATAAACAGATCCAGAATAAAGTTCATTTCAACACTCATCTCTCAGTAACAGACAGAAAAGCAGGCAGAAAATCAGTATGAATATGAGACCTGAATAACTACCAACCAATTTGAACTGACATTTATGGAATATTCTAATCAGTAACAGCAGAATACACAATCTTTTCCAGTGCATACGGAACATTCACTAAGACAGACCACAGTCTGGGCCATATAACAATCACATTAAATTTAAAATGATGAAAATAATATAAAATATGCTCTCTGACTCTAATGGAAATCATAAATTAACAGAAAGATATTGGAAAACCCCTAAATATTTTGAAATTAAATAATGTATCTATAAATATCCCATGGAAATTTAAAAATATTAAAGTGAATTAAAATGAAAATTCACCATATCAAAACATGTAGGGTACAGAAAGAGTAGTGCTTATATTAAATTTTAAAGAAAAGCCTTAATTTAATCATCTAAAGTTCTATCTTAAGAAACTAGAAAAACATATTAAACCCGAAGTAAGCAAGAAAAAAAAGATACCTATGGCATTTGATGAAACAGAAAATAGAAAACCAAAGAAAAAATGAGAGAAACTAAAAGTGTTTCTTTGAAAAGATCAACAAAATTGATTAACATAATTTACTGATATCAGAAATAAAAGAGCCATCATTCAGACGAAACTGACATTAAAAGATTAAGAGAATACCATGAACAAGTTTTTAATTAATAAATTCAACAATTTCAATGAAATGGACAGATTACTTGAAAGACACTAACTACCAAAGCTCAGTGAGGAAACCAACCAACCTGAATAGTTCTACATCTATGAAAGAACTGAATATGTATTTAAAAACTTTTCTGCAAAGGAAGTTCTAGGCCCAGGTGGGTTCCCTGGTGAATTCTTCCTATTTCAGTTAAGGTATAATACCAATTCTATACAAACTCATCCAGAAAAAAAGAAGAGAAGGGAACAGTTCACAACTCATTTTACAAGGTCATCATTACCCTGATTCCAAAACCAGACAAGGATATTACACGAAAACTAGATCAATATGCTTCATGAACATAGATGTAATAAAATATCAGCAAATCAAATCCAGTAATATATCATCACCAAGAAGAATTTATGCCAGGGATTTAAATAAAGTTGGTTTAACATACAAAAAATCGGTCAATGTAATTCACCCCATTAGCCAACTTAAAACAAAAGCCCATCATTATGATGATGTCCCTAAATGCAGAAAAAGCATCTGACAAAATCCATCACCTATTCAATGATACAAAGTTTCAGTAAACTAGGAATAGAAAACAATGTAATAAAGGTCACTTACAAAAAATCTACAGCTAACATATTTAATGTTCAAAGACTGAACATTTCACCGTAAGATCCAGAAACAGAACAAAGATGTCAATTCTCATCATTTCTATTCAACACTGTACTGGAGGTCCTACTTAGTACAGCAAAGCAAGGGGGGAAAAAAGGCCCATTGTCCAGAAAAGAGAGATGTAGAAGAGTCTTTACTGGCAAACAACATGGTATGTCTACAGAGAAAATACTAAAGAATCAACAAAAATGCTACTAGATTAAGTTAGCATGGTCATGAGGCCATTACCAAAAATTAACTATTTCAGTATACCATTAATGAATAATTGGTAACTGAAATTAAAAAAAGAAAAAAAGAACATGTGTAAAAGCAATGAAGAAAAAAAAATTATTAGCAAATGATGTGTAATACCTTGACACTGACAATGAAGAAATATTACTGAAAGGCATTAAAGCCCTAAATAAATGGAGCGATAGACCGTGTTCACGAATCACAAAACTTGTTAAGATGTCAATTCCTTCCCCCACGTTGGTCTATGGATTCAGTGCAATCCCAATCAAAATCCCAGGAAGCTTTTTTGGTAAAACTGATAAACTGATTCTAAAATTTATATGGAAATGCAAAGATCCTAGAAAAGCTAAAGCAATTTTGAAAACTATTTTAGAGAGCTTACTCCTTTCTTTGTTCTTCTGATTGATTTTCATTCAGTCTCTATGTTTAATAATCTTGCTTTATGTATTTTCCCTTAGAACGAAAAACTCAAAAACTTACTGAAATTAAAATAGGTCTAAATTATAAACAAAGAAAATTAGTTCTTTGACTCAACAAACCTATGTTGAGATAGAAATGCATAAGAATTTAATTAGATGACAACATTTTCTTTGTGGGTGACAGGCATTTACATCAATATAGCTATAGCACAACAAAACAGATTAGTGGTTTTACCAATCTAATGAAATATTAAGATTCATACAAAAGGTATCTCATCTTTTTAAGAAGTAGAAACTAAAAGCAACAGCAGTTTAATTTTATGATCAAAATATTTTCTTGGAAATGGCTGCAAAGCACCATTTACTATCACTAAGAAGTTCTATATGCATTCTAGCATATTCTTACTTTCTTAAAAATTAAAAAAATCCTTAAGATTCCATTGTGATAACACCAGATTTTTTTTTTTTTTGGTTCACACTTACTTCAAATGAGATACTTTAATCATTTCGATGGGTGACTCATCATTGCCTCGTTCACCGCGAAAAGCAATGCTCCTACCTTTAATTGCAAATATTAAAGAAAATGTGAAATATCAGATGAAACATGTAAGACACAAGAAGCTATACACACCAATAGAATCTGATCAGTGCTGCCTCTACTCTCCCTTTCATTCTTCTACTTGCTTCTAAGCTGTTTCAAGTAATCTAAATTCAAAACGTATTCTCAAAAGTATTACACATTGAAGACCAATAATATATTACTTGTATTCAAAGATCTCTTATAAAATGATATTTACCTTTGTTACAGAGTTTCTTGAATACTTTCGGTTGTTCCTTTTAAATAGTTGTATTTTAGAAATTCAAAAATACCAATTTTAAAAGTTTCAATGCATCTATGGTAAAGGAACTGTCTACTGTAAAACTACTGGTATATTTAAAGTAACATAAACACTCCCATGCTCACAAATACTAACTAGTGGGGAAATCACTCTTTAAACAGGTATTTAAGATTTCCTGTCCCAGGTACAAATTGCTCAACTGAAATACTTTTGACCTGGTTCCTATCAAAAGGTCTCTATACACTGAAACTGGGGAATGATAAGAATTAGTTAACTGCCAAAGAAGCGAAATGGTTTTCTGTAATTAAAAAATGCAAATTCTACTTTATGTCTGAACAAATATATTTTAATAACATTTCCCACATTTTTATTTACATTAAACAAAAGAGCATGTTCAATTCAGAGAGAATTGAGCGCCTGCATGCCTCCCTGCTCCTCATTGCTGTCAAATGAGGCCCCTGTTCTTATTTGCCAAACACCCACATCCTTTCCTGACCCTCCTTAGAAGACAGGCTAGAAAAGTCTATAATCTACAAACTCAAATATCCCACTTAAGCAAGTTAGTAACTATGACTTATAAATTTGTTGCTCAAAAATATTCTGTAAAAAAAAGACTTTTAAGTTATCTAACAGTCCTGAGCTGACTGGAAAAAATGAATACGCCTTTTTTTTTTTTTCTTTTAAAGTGAATGATACTAGAAAACAGCAGTTCGCCCCTGGGCTACAATGTAATTAGAGAGACCCCAATCTAGGGGCAGGGGTTACTAGGCAGGTCACTTCCAGATGAGACCAGAACAACACTGACTGATTCCAGTGGGGCTAACTCCTTGAGGTTTAGTAACATACTCAGATAAGTAAGAACAACCATATCTTGGAAATACATATTGAGAAAATACTCAATTTACTACACACACGTGCACACACACATATCTTAAGATTCAAACTATCTACATATATTCTTATTGCTACACCATTTTAAAGAAACTCACCACAATTTTGTTAAGAATTCAATTTGAAATCATGCATCTGTCATAAAATAATTTGAAACTCTCACTTTATCTTCAAGTTCTTCATTTTGAAACTCATTGAGTTGTAGGTTTTTAAACAATTCTGAACAAGTTACTTTACTGGAATGCTTCCTCTTGTAAAGTCTTTAAGCTCTCAGTCAGAGACTATCAAAAGTTTTAAATTTGAGCACTTAAAGACAATCCTTACTTAGAAATTTATAAAGGTTTTCCTAACAAAGGCCAAAAGTTTTAGAATAAAGCCTACTACAAAGATTTATTTTAAAACCGTACTTTTGGTTATCCATACAATGTACTTAAAAGTAGAACTGATACCATATGAACTTATGAATCCATCTGTTCACACTAATGGTACTCCATTTACCATGCACTTGTGTTAACACAATCTGCATACAAACAACAACCAGGAGCCTTTCCAGGGCAATTATTACAGAAAAACAACAACAAAATGAATATACAAATAGGATATAAAAAAAACCTTCCAAGTTGAAAGAAAGTTTTCTGGAATATGTTTTATAAATAGCAACATCTTTGATCAAGGTGACAAACCATTTTCAATCTTTTAATAGTCTAAATACACAAACCTGTTGGAAGATCAACCAGCTGAAGTTCATTTCTCACTAATCCCATATTGTTTGGTGTTGAAGTAGCAAAGGAAAGAAAACCAGTCAAACTTGTCCACTCGATACCCCTAAAATGATAAATTAAATAAAGTTTAGTCAAATACCTTTTTTTGTTTGAGCAACTTACCTGAAAAATAAGTTTTTCCTAAGACCTAAATTCTATCATACAAGTAATTAATATTAATATGACCTTTAATTTGAGACTAAATTATCATATGTTTCCAATATATATATGAAATTATTTCTAATTAAAACTTTATCTCCAAATGTTATGGTGGGCAAGACAGTTTAGTTACCAGGATTCATGGCAGCATTAAAATGACTATCAAAATCTGGCAGAGGAGAGAGACACACATCACAGCAGTGTCCAAGAATTCCACTGCTTAAGACAGAGTGGTACTGAAATATTCTGAGCCAGACTGCTTAAAGTTGGGTACACTGAGGAATTTTTTTTTTTTAAAGATTTTATTTATTTGAAAGAGAGAGAGAGACAGTGAGAGCAGGAACACAAGAAGGGGGAGTGGGAGAGTGAGAAGCAGGCTTTCCGTGGAGCAGGGAGCCCGATGCGGGGCTCGATCCCAGGACCCTGGGATCACGACCTGAGCTGAAGGCAGACGCTTAATGACTGAGCCACCCAGGCGCCTCTACACTGAGGAATTTATCAAATTTCCTATTTGGTTAGGAGGCAGAAATTCCTGAAGTAAACAATTCGAACCGAGCTGTTAAATATGGACGTGGCTGACAGTTCCAAATGGTGTATTAGAGAAAAGCACAAAAGAAAAATCTCAAAGAAATGATAAGACAGCAAGCAACCTATCAGCCAGATGCCTCAGAGTCTCCTTTTTGAGGACTGATAGCAAATGAGTCCAGTTTCTCCCACTGACACTAACTACAGAGTGTTACCGCCATGGCTTGTGGAGAATGGAGGCAGGGGGTGGGGCAGGGAAGGAGACACAGGATAAGTGGACCATCAGCATCATGAGAAGAAGGAGAAACACTGTACTATTGCCCTGCCTTGCTTACAAGGTAATAGAGGCTGGTTGGGAGGGAAGTCCAAACCTTTGCTCTACGTGCAACTGCTCACCAGAATTATAGGACAACTGTTTTTAACAATGTATCGTCTATGGCTGCTTTCATGATGTAATGGCAGAGTTGAGTAATTGTGACAGAAATTCTATGGCCTGCAAAACCTAAAATATTACTATCTGGTCCTTTACAGAAAATGTTTGTTAACTCCTGATCTAGTTTATCCACATCTACTTCAACTTGAAAGCTATTGCTAGATTTAGCATTAAATACTGCCTGAACACGTCCCTCATTTGCCCAAGAAGATATGCTGGCTTCCTGCATCATATCCAAACTCAGGTGACTTTCAAGGCCTTCCGGTCACTGGCCTCATCCTACCTAACCAAACTTACCTTTCAATCCTTTGAACCTTGTCTGCTATTGTAACTGCAGTAACTTTCCTCACTTACCCCTGTGTATCCACCTATTTGTCTTTTCTCAGAGGGGCAAAGATAATCCCAAAGGAACTAAAAATAATATTTGTTAGAGCAGGGACTTGCTGTAGTCATCAAGGATTATAACTCTTTAAGTGTAAAGTTGTGTTGAAACACTCAGATTAGGCTGCTGAAAACTGAGTACTCTTAAGAATTTCCATGCCTAGGGCGCCTGGGTGGCTCAGTTGGTTAAGCGACTGCCTTCGGCTCAGGTCATGATCCTGGAGTCCCTGGATCGAATCCCGCATCGGGCTCCCTGCTCGGCGGGGAGCCTGCTTCTCCCTCTGACCCTCCCCTCTCTCATTCTCTCTGTCTCAAATAAATAAATAAAATCTTTAAAAAAAAAAAAAAAAAAGGAATTTCCATGCCTGGAATGACCTCTCTCCTTCCCTCTTCAAATACTATTCGAATTTAAATCCCAGCTCTAGCAATTCGAGCTCTGTGTTCTCTCTTTATCGGTCTCCTTATCTATTATTACTGCAGGAATAACAACACTGTGTACACAAAGAAAGCCTGCCACATAGTAAGCACTGCACGTATTAGCAATTACCATCATCATCATTATTATTCTAATTTCAAGATCTAACTCAAGCCCAATTTTTGTCATGAGGTCTCCTCATTTACTAAACTCAAACCACACCTATAGTGAATACGATATAAATTTGATGAACTACTCACTGAAAAGTCCCTTTGTCTCTTCTTTCTCTTTCCTTCCCCTAACATGTAACAATATTCACTAAGTTTTCTACTTGGAGTGAACAAAAAAAGTGAGAAATCCTTTTGAACTTATTGTGCTGTTTATGTAAGTCTGGTAGCGTCAATCAGATCTGTTTACCCGTAGAAACCGAAGACATGCTTTCCAAGGCTTGCTGCTGGCAATCTGAACACCTACACTCCATACAGTAATGCCATGATCTCGGGACACTAAGAATCCCAATCCGCCCATTCTTCATTATTTTTAAAAATGTATCTGTGAAGGGCGCCTGGGTGGCTCAGTTGGTTAAGCGACTGCTTTCGGCTCAGGTCATGAGGCTACTTCTCCACCCTGGGGGTCTGCGGGGACCACCCACCTCTGGAAGGCCTTGAAGTTCTACAATCTATAAAACTAACTTCTGCAAATTTATAGACAAAACAGAGATTATTATTTTACTTTGCACAAATCACTCAATTTACTCAAAGCAATACTAAGTCAAAGTTCTGACACCCATATAAACTGCTGTTATTTAGTAAGTTTTGACACTGAAGAGTATTGTGCTATATTATTGTAAACTTAGCCTACTGGACAAAGATGCAAACTAATAATCTAAAAAAATCTAATAATCTAAGAAAACCTCCATGTACCATTTATTTATTCCTTGGTATCTTCCATTAGATTATAAGCATCAAAGGTTATGTTTATAGGAATACAGAAGATGCTCAATATGTACTTGTAATGTATAACTGGCTAAAACATCATGATTTTAAAAACAACCCACAGACAAAACTATCTGCAAGTTAGGCAGTCCATGTATATGCTTAAGATTCAAGTATGTAAGTGATTTTTAAAAAACGTATTTAGTACAAGGGAAAAGCAACTTTTAAAAGTTGACCTTAAATCTGCATATGAATATCTAGAATGTGTCGGGTTTATTGCTAGTAAGTTCAGCAATTTTTATAACACACCTGTGAAATTTTCATAATGGCTTTTAACTGTAATATTATAATCACATTAATTGAAACACAAAGACGGCAGGATTTTAGCATCCTCCTGGGCATCATCTCTGAATATAAAACGTGAATTATCTTCAAAATGGCAATTGAGAGGGAAAATTCATATAAAAAAATGGAGCACATCTGTGTGATCATTCACAACATCAGCCTGAGCAGCATATCCATTACTTGGTATCCCAAGTAACACTATAATTTCAAGTATTACTCAATAACAAATATTATCGCAGCATGAGTAAGTCATGTATTTAGTGACATCTACCATCTGAACAATCCAGAAAACAAATCTTATTTAAAACTAATAACTTGCTGATAAACTGGCTATTGAGTCTTTATTAAAGATTTCAGTGATCAGGGGCGCCTGGGTGGCTCAGTTGGTTAAGCGACTGCCTTCGGCACAGGTCATGATCCTGGAGTCCCTGGATTGAGTCCTGCATCGGGCTCCCTGCTCGGCAGGGAGCCTGCTTCTCCCTCTGACCTTCCCCCCTCTCATGTGCTCTCTGTCTCTCTCATTCTCTCTGTCTCAGATATATAAATAAAATCTTTAAAAAAAAAATTGGTTAAAGATTTCAGTGATCAGAAAAAGATGAAACTGTACGGATTTTCCAGAAGCAGGTATAAATTTCTAGCACGAACCCTGGCTTAGTCAACATTTTCATCTTATTGCCAAAATGTGCCCTATGTGCATTTTTTTAGCTGGAGATGTAGCACATGTACTGTAAGTATAAAGGTCAGTTCTGAAGCCTGAAAGGCCCAGATTAAATTTCACAGATTACAATACTGAGTTTCTTCTATAAATTGGGAATAAAAATAGTGCCTACCACATAAAGCTGTGGTGGGGACTCAAAGAAATGGTCATGCGAAGTATTAATACTTAACACGTCCCCAGAACAAGTACTGACTAAATGGAGAGTTTGATTGGTGGGTGTTAGCCACGAAAGGAAACACTAGACACCAAGCCAAGGGTGAAAGGAAATATCAAGGAAGAAATGTAGACTGGAAAGAAGGAGCGAGCAGGTAGCAGCAGTGGCAGAAGGATCTCCTGGAAGAAGAGAAAGATGAGCAACAGCCTGACATGGTCCAAACACAGACCCGTGTCATTGTGACTCTGAAATGGTCAATGGTCTAGTGACTCTGAAAACATTAGGACACCATGGAAAGGTATTTAGGGAGCTCCTGGAGGACACAGCATGAGGTGGAGACCAACAGTCAGCTACCTGGGCTGTACCACAATACGCTCAAAAGAATAAGGCAATGTAAACTTCTCTCGAACTTCCATCACAATCAGAAGTTGTGATACTTAAAGGGTTAACCTTTCCCCATTGAGAAAATACAATTACTCAGAATAACGTGTTCATGAAGGATTAACTACGAATTTTAACATATGCATGAGACCTATAATTATATAATATACAGAGGACAGAAAATGGCCTGTCTTATATGTTTGTTAAAAGATCATCAAAAAATATTGGGAATGTAATAAATTTATATTATACACACATAACTTCACAATCCATCATTGCTAGGGCAAAGAAAGGACAGCAGACATGCCATCAACAAAATAATGCTATGGAGCACATATGCATGCACTTCAAAACAAAGCAACCTTCTTCCCTCAAGTATCTCTGAAAGCACAGCACTCATAAAACACATCACATCTCAAAATGAAAGAAGAGATACTATACAGTTTGGTCCTTTTCTAAAAAAAAACAAATGAGATTAGTTAATAATTAACATGACTTCAAATTTTTCAGGAATAGTCCTACAGATGGATCTTTATAGAAATGAAAAACAAACTATATAAATCTGAACAAGGGAACACAGTGATAGTCAGTGAGAAAATATCCTAGACCTTAGGAGAAATCAGATGCAGCAATAAAAGTTAGAAAAAATTTTCCACTGCATAATATCCTTTTACAAAGCAAACAATTAGTGCTCAGCCTTGATTAACATAACCATTACTTAAACATCAATATTTATTATTTAAAACTTTCAGGCAAATAATTACCACTGCAAAGTATTCAATGTAGTAAAGTCTCCCAGAACTTTTTTCCAGTATGCTTTCTGTTTGTGATCTCAAAGTCATAATGCATACTCACTTGACTTCACAGGAGTGGACGCTTAACTCCTTATGCAGCAGCCCGCTGGTGAGATGGTACACCAGGACAGAACCATTACTTGTACCTATTGAAATGATGTAAGAGAAGAGTATTAATCTAGCCATAGTTCCAGATCTGTCCAAAAAGTCTTTTCTCAAGATTTGAATAATTTTATAACATTTATCTTTTATAAAAGGACCCAAGCTATGTGTTAAGAAAGAGTGAATTTCTCGGTCTTCTCGCTTCTCAAAAATGGGCCTAATCTCATGTGCTCTGAGATCTTACCTAAATCCAGGGACAGAGTTTCACAGAAAGGCTTCAAAATCTAACTCAATACACATGATATTTGAAGAAGCACTTTGCTAAGCTTTTTTACACATGGGAACTCATACTTTTTGAGATTTGGAATGTTTACAATAGCCAGGCCTCAAAAAGGCAACCTAGCAGAACTCATTAACCAGATCTTTTCTATTTTTCTTTACAAAGATTTTTGTTTTGTTTTGTCTTTTATATTACATAAATCATTGAGATGGTCAAGTATGGTGGTTAACTGTGGATTTTGTAGTTAAACTAGCCTGAGTTCAAGCTCTGGCTCTGTCTTACACTCTTACAAATTACCTGCCCACACTAAATCTGTGTTTTTAATTCCTTTAACATGGGAATAATAGAAAATTTACTTGCTGGAGAGTAAATGAGAAGACATATTTTAAACACTTAATACAGTACCTGGCACAAACTAAGCACATGTTTATTACTATTTTTATTATTGTTGTAGTTTGGTTTGTAGTTATTTTATGCCTAAAGCTTTTCATGGCGTCAGGTAGAATGTGTCTATAATTAAATTGAAGAAACATGGCCATACTTGGAAAAGTAATATTTCAGTCCTTAAAATGTTTTTATAAGTTAAGCAAGAAAGTGAACAGTATAATTGGTTGGACAATCATTGTCTCACTGCACATGACTTTAAAAAAATTAATGGATTCATGCAGAGTAATAGAATGTAGAAATGACAGAATAATAATAGAAATAAAAACACTAGGCAAGTTCCAATTTTAGCTTACCTGAATAAAGCTTCATTAAATATTTTACAAAGCTATTCTAGAAAAATACAATATTATACTTGTTTACATTTATTATCTATTCCATGATAATACCTTCTAGTACTGAGACAATATCTAAAGAATTACTAGAACTTTTCAATTAATAAATCATCATCATAATAAAATGATTTTAACATTCTGCAAGCTTCTGTTTTTTGGGGTTTTTTTTGGTTTTGTGTTCTGTTTTTTTTTTTTACAGAGAGTGAGCGCCCACACACTTGTGCACTTGCACGACTTGGGGGGTGAAAGGGAGGGGCAGAGGGGGAAGGAGAGAGAATTTTTAAAAAATATTTTATTTACTTATTTGACAGAGAGAGCGAGAGAGCACAAGCAGGGGGAGCAGCAGAGGGAGAGGGAGAAGCAGGCTCCCCGCTGAGCAGGGAGCCCGAAACGGGCTCGATCCCAGGACCCTGGGATCATGACCCAAGCTGAAGGCAGACACTTAACCGACTCAGCCACCCAGGCACCCCAAGGAGAATCTTAAGCAGGCTTTATGCCCAGAGCAGAGCCCTACACAGGGCTTGATCCCATGACAGTGAGATCATGACCTAACCCGAAATCAAGAGTCAGATACTGAGTGAGCCACCCAGGTGCTCCTACATTCTGTAAGTTTTAATGATGCTGAACCTATGACCTAATATTCTAGGGGCACCACAAGGAGCAGTAATTCCACAGTGGAACTCTGCCTCTTTTCCCTAGTGACTGCAAAAGTTTAGGCACTTATTTTATATTTTTTCCTTTTACTTTGTGATTATACTAAATTCAATAAATGACTTGATCATCACACTATACCAGTAAAATACAGCTTATTCTACAATAGAAATCTCAGACCCTGACTTAGCTCCAATTATCTAGCTGTGGCAAGAAGTAATTTTCTCCAAGAAATTGACAAAATCCTAATTGACAATTTAGGTATACTGACACTGTATATACATGTACATATAATGTACATTGACAAATTCCAATTAAAATCTCTATAAGAGGTTTAATATAAGTCAACAGTTTCTAAAACAAAAACTATCTGCATTTATATAAATCTGGACACATGTACACACAGATTACCAAACATTAAAATGCAAACCACTTTCAGAAGACAGTAATGGAAAAACCGGGAAAATCCGAATACTGCCAAATACGATTACTCAAGTGAGCCTTTAGTACTCATGAGTAGGCTGTTAGCTAATTGAGACCTACTAGCAACAAAATAAATGTGGGTCAAGTTTTCATTTTAGAAAAAAAAAAAAAATTACAAATCATGTTATAGACCTGGAGTGAAAGCCAGAAGCCAACGAATAGCATCTTAAGAAAAAATGTTGACAATTTCAAATGAATATACTCCTTTTTGAAATTTTCGAGAAATGCATTTTACCTTATATATGTAATAGCAAATTAAAATTTGTTTTTTTTCCTATGGAGATTAGATTACTCGCATAATGTGACAGCAAGTTGAAACCCAGACCAATTTTCTATCTACAATATAAAACTATGCAATTTCAACCCAAAAGGCAAATCTTAGTTTAAGGAGACCATAGGCACTTTAAACAATGTTTAATATACAATTCTTGGCAAATGAAGAGCATGGCTATTATTAAACTACTAACTATGTATCATTAGTTAACAAAAACCCAGTACAGAATAAGCCTTGGGTGGTCCAAAAAAAGACCAGGAATCTGGATTTAGCATCACACAGGGATTTTTCTCCTAACATTTCAGAAAGGTACCCATTGTGGTCAGGGTCTCTATCACCCAGTGTCAAATGGATGAGTTAACACTGTGATTAAAAATAAATAATAAAAAGATGGGGGGATTAAAAGGACAGAAAAACAAAAAGAAGAAAAATATTTTAAGATGAGTATATATATGATTTCACTGGGCCTCTTCTTCCTTATCCTCAAAGAGAAGATTTTCTTTTTTTTTTTTTTTTTTTTTAAGATTTTATTTATTTATTTGACAGAGAGAGACACAGTGAGAGCAGGAACACAAGCAGGGGGAGTGGGAGAGGGAGAAGCAGGCTCCCCACCGAGCAGGGAGCCCGATGCGGGGCTCGATCCCAGGACCCTGGGATCATGACCTGAACCGAAGGTAGACACTTAACGACTAAGCCACCCAGGCACCACCGAAAAGATTTTCTAGTAACTACCAAACTCAAATGTCCTCTAAAACGTAAAACAGGCATGAAGGATTAAGAAAAGAACAGGTCTAATACTCACCAACCGCAAGCAATGGCTGATACACCTTGATGTTTTTGGTGGTCAATGGCGGGCACATACGGATGGCAAACTGTGGAGAGGGCAGCCCTGAAAGCAGTCCTGTCAGCAGGAAGCGGAGGTGCACTTCCTGAAGAATGGGGCCTTTAGGATGCTCCTCCCCAGCAATGGCACTTTGTCCTGATTGGTGAGCACAAGTACAAATATATTCATTACAATGTATGCTGAAATTTAAAGAAACTTTTCAGCAGAAATACTCTTCAAGTCTAGAAGAAATACTCTTCACACCTACAAGGTACCAGGTGGCACTCCAGGGGCTGCAGTTGAACAATGGCTCTGTACTTGGCTCTGGGATGGAAACCGCACTGTCTGCCATCTCAAAGGATAGATTACTCTGGAGGACTGCTGTCCAGAATTCAGGGACTTTTGTCATCTAAGAAGCACTGTTTCAGCCAAAGTTCCTGCTATTAGGCACCAAACAAGGCAAATCAGGGGACTTGGGTTAGAGAGCAGCTTCTGTGGAGCAGGATGCTGCAGGACATTCCCATCTCACTGCCTGCCTTTCTAAAGGGTTGCTTTTCCATGTGAGGCACTTCCTCAAGTACATATTAAACTGGTGATCACCAACTGTAGGTTCAAAGAACTCATTTAGATTTCTAATCAGAAATCTTCTCAATGTGTCAATGTAATTACAAAATCTAAGCTTTATAATACTTCATACATAAGTATATGAAATAAATATATATAACATAAATTACATATAATTAATTATATATAAATAAGAATATACAAATACATAAGACAAAGAATATATAAGCTGTCACTGTTGATAGTTAATCTTAAATGGGCATTATTTTCAGATACAGCATTTGTACTTAGGTTATTAAGTTTCAAACTAAAAGGATTTAGTAAAACCATTCTACGTGAATATGAAGAGTACAACAAAATCCAGACCATTCACTAAAAAGATTATACAAATTTTCTACCTATAAACCACTCTAGAATACTGAGATATAGTTTCCAAAAACACGCAATAAAGGAAACATGAGTGTGTGTTTATGCACACATAACACGTACACACCCATGAAAGGGAAAAATGTAAATAATTACCATAAGTGGGTGATGGGACTCCGAATCCTGTAACCTTCTGAGGCTATAAAGTTGTTTTAATAACAATGTTATTTTAAAATCCATAAGATGTACAGAAAAAATGGCCATCAATTTAATCCAAATAAGATGATCCCATGATATCGTATGATTGATATCAACCTTTGGTAACAAAAGATGGAGTCTACAGGAACGTGGAGTTCAACAGAGAGGTACCATGTTTACAAACCCTCCACAGCTTGGAGCTGACTCCTGGGAATGGCCATTATTTTTCTTCAAACTTCTTCCATAAGAGGCAAATCACAAGGTAGGGCAGATTAGGCCTTAAAGAGCAGCAGGCTTCACCCAATGAATATAAATCTGGCCTCTATATTTAACTGAATTGCTTTCAATTATCACTAAGGACATAGTGAATATCAAATTAAAAGTTTAATTAAAAGTTTTAATTAAAATGTTTTCAAGTAGCAAAGCTTTATTTATTTAATGCTTTTACTTATTTTTTTAAAGATTTTATTTATTTATTTGACAGAGAGAGAGACAGCAAGAGAGGAAACACAAGCAGGGAGAGTGGGAGAGGGAGAAGCAGGCTTCCCGCGGAGCAGGGAGTCAGATGCAGGGCTCGATCCCAGGACCTGGGATCATGACCTGAGCCGAAGGCAGATGCTTAATGACTGAACCACCCAGGCGCCCCATTTAATGCTTTTAAATCGACTACATTGTCAGGAACTGTATACAATCTGTATCCTTTTGTCTTTTAAAAAAATGTAATTTATATCACTTAGACACCTTGCTGTGTAGTATTGAGCAAGTTTTTTTTAGAATCTCTCTGGGTCTCAGTTCCCACTTTCATAAAATAAAAATAATAATATTACCTACTTTGCAGGGTTATTAAGGTAATACACAGTGCATTTAGCACAGTACTTAACACAGTATTAAGCACCCAATGTCATTTCTGATTAAGATTAGTAAGGTAATACTCTTCCTAGTATTATCATCTATCTAGCATCTAAACAGTGCATTTAGCACAGTACTTAACACAGCATTAAGCACCCAATGTCATTTCTGATTAAGATTAGTAAGGTAATACTCTTCCTAGTATTATCATCTATCTAGCATCTAAACAAAAAAACCTACTAAATACTGATCTCCAATTACGTTATGAAAGAACAAATAATGACAAAGAAAATCCTTTATAAGCCACAGCTACAAATTTTAAAAGAATTAAGACATCAAAATTACTTGGCATATTTGCAACTTCTATTTGTACAATATTTGAAATCACAAATCCTCATTCTTCCTTTAATAAATACTGACCCTATAATAATTAAACAACTGAACCAATATTTTATTTGTAAATAAATTTGTTGAAAGAATCCCCAACGTGAAAGTTTAAAAATGTGCATCAAGATGCTAAAATAACTTTTTCTAATACTGCTCACTTTATTCCTTCAATGTTTGTTGCACAGCTTGAACGTACAAGGCTCTTTGCCGAGTACTGGGGATACAAAGTGGAATCAAGCATGTCCCACACTTACAGGGTTTATAATTTACTGGAGGAAACAAACAAAATCACAGTTACAATCAACTGGTAACTACTAGGGACTGCAAATGAAGAACATTTAAGTCAGGCTAGGGAGACTAAAGAAAGCAACACTTGAGTCGAATTTTAAATGAGGAGTAGCAGAAAGGGAGAAAGAGAAAGTATGTATTCAGTTCCGAGCCAAGGGACCAGACTGCATGAAAGCCCTGAGGAGCAGGGTATAGCTCAACACAGGATAGATCTAGCATTCAAACGCCTAATGTCATCTCCTTTATTTAAATCAAGAGTCTCTCATGAGTGAATGTTTTCTAATTCCGATAACTGTAATGTCAATATATGCATTTATGCTTAAATATTTCATACCCTCTGATTTAGTGAGGAAAAAAATGATCCATTTTAGTCTTCTCAAGTATTAACTTTGACTTTAAAACAATTGCAAATCAGTGACTCTATTAATTTTGCCCTTCGAGAATACCTAACATAAATGTTAGAGGAAAAAAATAGCTTACCAATCATGTTATCTAAGGAGAGGTCTGGGAGTTTATTCTGTAGCACTCCTACAGGAATTCCACAGAAAGACACGGGTGAATATAAAGGTGATACACCAGAACTACTGCAAAGACATAATAATTGCATGTTTTTACATACTTAAAACCTACGTCACATTTTAGTAACCCAAATTACTAATTTCAGATCATGGCATTCTATCCATTTTTATAGAATTTATTAATCTTAACCACAGTGAAATATTTCTAGCAGGTTTAGATAATTCCCTAATAATCTAAAGTCTAAATTCTCACTTAAAAAAAAATTTTTTTAAAGTCCCTGTTATTTTCATATGATTCTGGTAATTTTTTTTGAAGATTTTTTATTTATTTATTTATTTGAGAGAGAGAGAGAGCACAAGCAGGGGAGAGGAGCAGAGGGAGAGGGAGAAGGCTCCCTGCTGAGCAGGGTGCCTGACATGGGGCTTGATCCCAGGATCCTGAGATCATGGCCTGAGCTGAAGATAGATGCTTAACTGACTGAGCCACCCAGGCGCCCCTGATTCTAGTAATTTTCTTAAAAGAGGAAACAAAGCAAACCAGAAAAGAATCCTATTGATTCACTTACCTGCTCCGTGAATTTCGATTACAAACGGCAGACTTCAGTTCCCATATCATGACCCTGCCATCACTCACAATGAGGGCAGCTGCATTCTCATTGACAGGACAACACACCATACTGAAGGGACGGACAGTTTTTGTCACCCTGATTGCATCGCATTGGCTTCGTAAATCATAGGTAAGCTCTTGGACAGGATCTGGATCTTAACATAGTATTGTTTTCTTTTAAATATCGGAAAGCAACACAGCAATATCACTACTATTTGCTTTAATTTAAATAAAACCTCAACTAAAAAGAACATCATTCCTTCACTAGCACAAAGTTTGTCAACAATGCCTTCTCCTTTTACAAGTATTACTAATTTCTTGAGAATATAAATATAATTCATTTAATGGCTGTCTATACCAAGTTTAGTTTCCAAAATAAAAACTACAATCAACATAGTTTGTTTTTTAATATTTTAAAACAAAGAAAATAACTTTGAAGAAGGATCAATAGTGATATGACTAAATAATGTACAGTACACTACAGGTCATCATAATTTATAGTGGCCTATAGTAAGCCTGAAAATAATGGTACTCTACAAAAGATGTGAAAGTCACTTTCGCTTTTAGGTAATACATCATTTTACAAAACAGTGCTTTTATTCTCCAGGATAAGACTGAAACTGACAACTGAATACCCTGGAGACTTATTAACCTATGTCATTTTATAATGGAAGTTCCTAAAGCAGAGAAGTCAGGGGTGTAATAATAAAGGTATTTTACAAGGTTCCACTTGTGCTGAAGAAAAATTCACAAAGATAATATCTACTTGGCTCATGGATATAATTAAGGAATTACAAAATATTACTTTCTTTGCTGCATATAGGAGGAGCACTATTATAACACCATGAAATTAACCATGGGCTTGTGCTTTTTTATGCTTCATTTTACAATCATAGTCTACTTTTCCAAGGCCAGGACTACCATTAACTCCAAGCTTTGGCTGGTATTTGTCACATAAAGACTTAGGAAATTCTGAAGAAAAATATATTAACATTATTCTGAGCTATAAACTCACCTGGTTCCTCATTTGAAGTGGTAAAAATACTATTATAAGATCTTCGAACACGTAAAGTTATACAACCATTTTCATGTAGGCAAAATAAACCGTCACGTTGAAAGCAGGGTATTACCTTTAAATAGATAATGTAGTCATTTAAAAAAAACACAATAGATTAAAAAGTATATGCTGGGAAGCTCATAAACTCATATTTAGAGCATATGGGCAGAAAAAAAAAAGAAAAACAAAAATACACACATAATCCCAAGCTTTAAAAACTAAATGAATTATTCAAAGTCTCCATTTATGGGGCACCTGGGAGGGGGGGCTCAGTCAGTTGAGCAGCCAACTCTTGATTTCAGCTCAGGTCATGATCTGAGTCCTGGGATCAAGCCCTGCCATCAGGATCCGCACTCAGCAGGGAGTCTGCTTCAGGATTCTCTCTCCCTCTGCACCCCCCCAACCCCCAACCCCCACCCCCGGCTTGCTGGCACTCGTGCGCATGTGCACACGCATGCTCCCTCTCTAATAAATAAATCTCTAAAAAACAAAGAAAATCCATCCATTTATTGTCATAAAAAATTTGTCTTTATCCAGGTAACTTAAATAGTTCAATAAATATCTTCAGATCAGAAGAATTTCTAGGGTAAATCAAATCAAGAGTGCAGAAAAATAGGAATATACAATAACATCGTTAATTTTTAAATAAATAGAAAAGACAAAGTGGAACTAAGGACTTCTGCAAGATTATGTTTTTTCTCCCTATAACATTCATAATCAGCTTGGAGGGATGTAATTTTTAAATCATAGATACCTGCAGAAATGGAACTCCTGTTCGTTCTATTGCAATCACACCCACTGTTTGATTCACCTCAAGGTCAAGGATTAAAATCTCTCGAGGATACAGTAACAACATGTGATTTCTTTTGGAAGGCAGATATGCCAACTGAAGGCAATCGTTGAGAGTTATAAATTCAGCGCTGAAAAAAGTAAACATACTTTAGGGATCAAGAAATGAGTCAAAGACTTTATTCATATCCAAAAAGCTAATAAAGGACTGAATTTTGTCCTTTCCACCTAACTTGTCAATAAGAAGGTACAATTGTTTCCTGAAATGACCAATAGGGACTAGCATCTAAAACTAAGATCTCTGTGCCAATTATGACAATAGTATTGCATAGGTTGGATAGAGATACGTTTCTAAATTTTTGAAAAATTTAAGTAATAAGGGCGCCTGGGTGGCTCAGTTGGTTAAGCGACTGCCTTCGGCTCAGGTCATGATCCTGGAGTCCCGGGATCGAGTCCCGCATCGGGCTCCCTGCTCGGCAGGGAGTCTGCTTCTCCCTCTGACCCTCCTCCCTCTCATGCTCTCTGTCTCTCATTCTCTCTGTCTCAAATAAATAAAATCTTTATTAAAAAAAAAAATTTAAGTAATAAGTCTATAAGATGGTAAGTGACAAAACTAATAGTTTTATTTTTATTTTGCCATCAGAAGTACCAAAGAGATTGCTGAAATCAAGACTCAGCATCAAAACAAAACAATCTGGGTAATTAGGGCCCTTGGACCAGGAGCCAATGGATTATCTGTATGGCCTTGGGCAAGTCACTTCTTCCCCTCTGTCTTCATTCACTTTTAAGCTGTCTTAAATCTTTTCTGAAACAAAGTAAGGTATTATATTCACTTATCACAGCATTTTCTTCTGTGTAAATAAAATTAATAAAACTTTATAAAGATTGTAGATAGTTCAGAGTCTCAAGACTCATTTTATTCCTAATCAATAGGAATAAACATTAGGAATAAACATTACTAGGAATAAACATATAATAAACATATAATTATATACTACTTTCTTTTTACATAATGATTACAGAGTTTTAAATTTTAAATAAAGTTAGGCAGCTCTTTTCTGCCCACGGGTCCTATCCCCGTGCTTTAATAAAACCACCTTTTTGTACCAAAGATAAAATAAAATAAAGTTAGATTAGAGGACTACAAAGAGGAACATGGATTGCATTAAAATCTTGGCTCTGCCACTTCCTAGTTGGGTAAGCTTGAGGAACATATTTAAAACAATGTGGAGCTCAATTTCCTCACTTACAAAATAGGCACAGTATTACGGCCCAGAACTGTAGCAGGATCACATGTAATAATGTACATAAAAGCACCTGGAGCAGTTCTATTTGAAGGGATTAATAATTCATTTCCCCAAAACTCAAAATGAACGTATGACTCATGAGAAGATATAACACATACAAATCATAATATAAAACAATTCAGACTTTAAAAGATTTATCTATAACACAGAACCAATGAAAAATAATAGAAAATTCTCTTAAAATATGTAAGGAGCAATCAAATTATTTCAGCACAGGGCGGGGGATAAATTAGTGAACTTAACAAGCCTATGGTTTAATACATAAAAGTGATATTTATATATAAATTCAGAATATATTTATAGAGCAATCTGTATTTTACCATATATTTTTCAGGTAATCACCCACAAAATCTAGGCAGAATAATCTTAGTATATTAAAAATAGGAGTCTTTTTAAAATGAATGCCAAAATACTGCCAAAGCAATAAAAATAAGAACAATCATAGCTTTCGAGGAAAAAAAATTGAAATCTATTTTTCCAATGCACAAAATTAGTTACTTAAAATTTTATTCAGTTGCAATTTCTGAAATAAACAATAATAGGTAGCATTTACCAAATAAATGCTTACCAAATTATCTGCCACTACATTAAGTACTTAAGCTACTGTATTTTAATCCTCACAACAACCATATAAAATCCTATAAAATGCTGTTTTAGAGATTGGGAGAGTGAAATTTGAGCAAGATTAAAGAATTTTCTGAGTCACGTAGCTATAATTTCCCCTAGAATCCTGGTCCTTAATCAGTACGAGAAACATCTTTACATGCATAAGAAAAACACCCATATTTTACTAGCTAATGAGACTGCACAGCACTTAAGTGAGGAAAATGTATTTAAAATGAAAATCCAGCTTTTGTCCCCAATTTTTTAATGTATTCAATTGCCAACGGTGGAATCTTCATCTTATATTTTCAGATTTAAAAATCAGAAGCCAAAAACTGTGATCTGTAAAAATCAGTGGGGGAGAGGTTAACATGATCACTAGACACAAGGAGCCACATCAAAGGTGGAATCTCCTCTTTGGGGAAGAGACAGAGAGAACATTCTCCTCCATATAAATTCAAAACTGGAAATGAGAAAGGGTGAGGTAAAGAATAAAATCAGTATTAGTACATCTTCAAAAATGACATTTCATGAATGGATGATAAATAGATGAACGTGGTTAGTTTTATACTTGTAACTTACCTAGGTTTCTCTTGAGTGATTAAGATTTTTACTTTATTAAGAGCCTTCTTGGCCCCTGTGGCTGCAGCGAGCTTGTTATGAGCTGGGCTAGAGTGTGGGCTGGATATGTAAACTTTTTTCCCAGGGCCCGAGGGAGGCTTGGATGGAGAGAAGTCTGAGATGAATACAATACCCTCGCTGGTGAGTACTATATTGAGAGAAGCAAAACTCTGATTAAAGTTTAATCAAATTTAGCACAGAGTTTTATTCCAATACAATTTTGAAAGCAAGGTAATGATAATTTTAATAATATAGAACTGGCAGTGTAATGGAGTCATAACATAACTGGAATGTTCTCCAAGTTGAACTGAAACAGGTGGTCCATTACAATTCATCAGAGGCCTCCAAGCTCAGCGTTCTAAATTAATGTTTTATATTAAAAAGATATCAGAAGGTTACTGGCAGAAAGAAATGTTTGTTCTTCCAAATAATTCAGTGCACGTCATTAAAAACCTTTCCTCATTATATCCCGTAACTTCAAAATCCAGAGACTTTTCAGAATATAAAATTCACAGAAGAAAAAAAAAATCCCATATATAAGAGGCTTTGCATATCACACTTAGCGAAGTTTAAATATGTGATGTGATACTAATTTTTTATGATTATCATGAGCTACTCAGTCTAAAAATATTTCCTTTTTCTTTTGGAGCATCAGATTGAACCTTAGGAAGTATAGCAGAGTGTTCTTTTTCTCTTTATATCCAGGGTAAAAACAGAGTGCCAACAATGGCTTACTAAGTGTACAGGAAACAGAAGTATTCAAGAAGGGAGCACCATATTTAGCAATACAAATTTTGCCTTTTTATGACTGAAAAATAATCTCCCTCAACACCGGGGCTAATACAAAGATATCTAAACAGAGAAATCTCATCTATCCTGGCTCCCTGCAGTTAGTGAGGCTGCTTTAAGCACAGGGAGCAAACAAGTATTCAAGAGCTATGACAGTCCTGGCACATTCAAGATGAGTAAATCAAAGCTGTTAGGTGAACTGACGTTTTGAAATATACTGTGCTTTTATCAACCAAATTACAGAGATGCAGTAAGTTAGCCTGAGGCCTTGTCTCCTTTTCAGATGACAGAACTCACCTTCCAAGGTCTCATTCTTCTTTTGTGTTGCCCTCCCTCAGTCAATGGATCAGCTAGAGCAGCCCTGCTCTGTGTTCCCACAGCACTGCATTTCATAGCACACTAAGGAGTGAGTGCACGTATGCACATGTTCGTACACACGGACCGTATATGTCTATACACACGCAATGCCTAACCACACATTACTATAACTGCACAGCCGTGTTTCCCATTTTAGTTTCTGCGTGTACACACTTCTCTTCTTTCTTCAGCACACAAATACACACTCAGTAATAACAAATGCTGGTAGATAAAAGAATTGAGTCATTCAAATTCAGGGGAAACATTCTTTCCCACAGCTAATTCCCTTATCTCTTTCCAGTTTTTGATCAAGTATCAAAATGAGGCCTACTCTGACCACTTTATCTAATACAACAACCGGCCCATTCCCAGCCCTCCCATTCCCCTTCATTCCCTTTATTCCTGGAATATAGTAATAGCTCAAGAAATATCTATTGGATAACTGAATGAAGAATATTTCCTAAACCATTTAGTCACAAAAACATGTGTCTAAAAACAAATCAAATTTTTTGATCAGCAGCTCAGTGAAAACACCAAAAGCACAGTAGCAAAAACAACCTCTGCAAGAAAAAATTCCCTTGGGCTTATTCTGTGCCTCACATGCATCTATTTATGGCACTCAAAACACATGCATGAATTTAAATGATTTTTTAGAAGGAAGAACTGAATTTGGCCACATACTAAATGAAACCTTTGACTCAGGTTCTTTATATGTTCCTAGAAAAACAAATTTAATTAAGCCCAAATTAGAATAGCACAGCAACTCTCTCTCCCCAGCTAATTGAATTCTATTTACAAATTCAACACAGTGAAGGTACAGCTTGCTGATTTAAATTTCTAGCCATCAAAATACTTGCAAATGATATGGGATTATGATTTAGTATCCATATTAGATGCTGCAGGTATATGGACTTCTCCACTTTGTTGTTTTAACATATTAGATGTATGATATGGGTTGTGTATATCTTATGTACAGAGCATTAACTATATTATAAAGAACTCATTTTCCACAAGAATCTGTTACTCACAAGTTAAATGTGAGGGATCAAAAGGGTCAAAAGAAAAAGAAAGAATGTTATCTGCATAGCTTTTCTTCCACAGTTTGGTGCCAGTATCTGCATTCCAGAGCACAATATAATTTGGTGGGTGGATAGCAAGTAGTAAATCTCGGGAAGCATCTTGATTCCACAACCACTGAACATCTGCAAAGACCAGATAAAGGCAAAATTCAGAAATCACTTCAGAAGACTTGGTTAATGTGCCCTTGACATATAGGGTTTTGTTTTTTTTCCCCACAATCCTTAAAATCTTAACTTCCCCTCTCCCTATGTTGCATACATGTGTATATATGTCAGGACTGCACAGGAAAAGTAGTTTTATATTAAAATGAGCTGTCTGGACATTAGAATCTCAAGATCAACATTTTCAAATTACTTCAAAGAAAATACAAGACAAAATTTTCACTTAATCATTACTTAAAACTTTGCGTCAAAGACTGTCCTGGCCATGATCAACGTCAGGCTCTCCTAACATCTTTGTGGAATTACTTAACGGGACTTTGCAGAGTTTCACATTTTTTACATGATAATAAAGAGAACAAATATCTCGTTCAGTACCTAGTACAATGTACTCAACAAATATTTAAATAGTCATCTAAAAAATTCACTCAGTCAAGAAAGCCACTCAGTCAAAGCCTTGAGTCGAAAGAATACCATATTGGTTTTAAGTAGTAACATAAACACACAATCTATATGAAAATGAAAATAAAATTTGTATCATCTCTATTAATGGAAAGTAAGCACTGAGGGCTAATTCAAAATAGCAATTCAGCCAAGTTTACTTTATTGTAGCTTAGATTACAAGACTTTTATAGCAGTTTAATTTTTTTCATGCTTGATAGAGGCCAATGCTAAAATTAATGCAATTTACTAAACCACAAATCATCTGAGATTTGAGGAAATATGCACAGAAATATACTGATAAGGACAAGAAAGCTAGATACAGATCAATAAAACACGCTGAACACAATCAAGAGTTAACTGGGAAGTGATGAAATTAAAAGGGAAAAAAATCACTCTAAAAGTAAGTGTATTAATATAAACACTTAGCAGAGCACAGACTTTCCTCACCCTGAATAGGTTTGGCATGCTCTTGGATCTCACACTGAGCTACTCCCGCAGCTACATCCCAAACGATGATCTTTCCATTGACATCAGCAGAAGCTAAGCGCAAGGAATATGGTGAGCCAATGTTATGGTGATAATTTTCCCTGGCCCATTTAACCTAGTATCAAGAAGAAATCAAATCAAGTAAATACTTGTACTGGATGAAACTAAACACAATTTTCATAAAACATCAACCAGAACCCAAACTACATTCTACACTTATGTTACAAAAACATTTAGAAAGAATAAACAGGAAACTGTTTTCCATCTCGAAAGTCAGACTTTTATTATGTGGTATTTTTTTAAAGTTGCAATACAATCATAAAATTTAATCATGACAAAACATCTAAAATCCTAAATTACTAAGTAGAATGGTTTTCTGTACTCTACTCTCCTAATTAAAAGGAGACAACTTAGAACTACCAAAACCTTGCAGAGGAAAAAATGGAAAACAAAAGCAAGCAAAAAACCCTCTAGCTGTCCTTTTCATAAAACTGGAAAAAAGATGTTAATTTTCTTAAAAAAAAAAATATATGCTTCATACCTCTAGCAACATCATAAGAGTGGAGTTTTTACAATAAAAACCACAAGATTCCAGCACAAATCAAGTTAATCCTGAGTCATGAACAAAACACACGTCTTCATTTCACCCTAAGCCATGGCCTTCCGTGGCTACAGCCTCCCCTCTGTTCTAGCTCAGCATCCAGTTTGTCTTCTTCAAAGCATTTAACAAACAACAATTTGTAATTGCTTTATTTACCCCATTTTGACCCATCACCAACCCGTGAACTGTAAGCTCCACTGGGTAGGATCATGCAGGCCTTGTTCACATTTCTATTCCCAGATCTTAACAGACCACCAAAGCTAGTGCTCAACAAATATGTATTTAATGAATGAACTCAAACACCACAGAATCTTCAAATATATACATATATAAACATATGTATAGAGACACATGAGTGTATATATACATAAACACAAACTCATACCTAGTGCCAAGGCAGGGAAGTGTGCCTTCCCTACAGTATTCCTAAAGAATTCATAGAAAAGACAAAACAAAAAGTTTTCTGAACTTCAGTGTTGATAAGCCTTAAGATTCTGTTGTAATACATCTTTTCCTCAGGCCAGAATTTTTTAAAATAAAATGTGTTAAGAGAGTGTATATGCGGGCGCCTGGGTGGCTCAGTTGGTTAAGCGACTGCCTTCGGCTCAGGTCATGATCCTGGAGTCCCTGGATCGAGTCCCGCATCGGGCTCCCTGCTCGGCGGGGAGTCTGCTTCTCCCTCTGACCCTCCCCCCTCTCATGTGCTTGCTCTCTCTCATTCTCTCTCTCTCAAATAAATAAATAAAATCTTAAAAAAAAAAAAAGAGAGTGTATATGCATATATGTACATGTTTGAATGTGTGTCTATGTGTATATTTTATATTTAGTGTGTGTATATACAGTCAATCCGCATTATTTGCAGATGTGTTTGCCCACTCACTGGAATTTGTGATTTTACTTAAAAAATGAATACTTGCAGTGCTTTCACAGTCATTCAGACACATGCAGAGTGGTGAAAAATTTGAGTCACCAATAGACATGTGTATTCCCAGGTGAAACAAAATGTTCTTATTTCAGCTCTCATAATGCAAACAAGTGTCTTTCTCGTGGTCTATTGAGCACCACTTTTTGGGGGGGGGGCATTTTTGTGCTTTTTATTGATGATTTCATTGTTCAAATTCAAAATGGTCCCAATGCACAGTGCTGAAGTGCTGCCTAGTGGTCCCAAGCATAAGAAGTTGTGATGTGCCTTATGGGATAAACACGAAAGATAAGCCCTGTTCAGGCATGAGTTTTAGTGCTGTTGGCTGTGAGTTCAATGTTAATGAATCAACAAAACAAATACAAAACAAGGTTATATATTGATCAGTTGATGAAAATGTTGTGACAAGAGGCTCACAAGAACCTAAGTTGTATTTACCCTACAATCAACAATTCAATCAACTGAGCAATCAACATTTCAGTATTTGCTAATTTCAGTGTTTGCAGCAACTTTACAGAATAAAACTATCATGGATAAGAATTGATTGCATCTATGTATATAAGTGCTTGAATTCCATTTATGTAAACCCCAAGCAGTGCGTGTGTGTATTTTTTTTTTTTAAATCACCTAGACATATCATAATCAAACTGCTGAAAACTAAGGATAAGGAGAAAATCTTGAAGGCAGTCAGACAAGAAAACATACACTGCATATAGAGAAATAAAGACAAGAATTTCTCTCAGAAATTATGGAAGCTGGAAGATAGTGGAATATCTTTCAAGAATTACAAGAGAAAAAAACTGATGAAATATCTTCATAGACAAACAAAAACCAAGAGAATCAACCTATATTAGATATATACCTCAAGAACTTTAAGGAAATTCTTCAGGCAAAGGGAATATAATACCAGACTGAAACCTGGATCCACACAAAGAAAAGAGAACGCCAGAAATGCCAAAAAGATCAGGGAAATGGGTGGGAGGGAGAACGTATTTTTTCAAAATAAAACCCTATACCTAACACCAGACTTAATGGTAGAAGACTGAATGTTTTCCCCCCAGGCTCAGGAACAAAACAAGAATATAGTCTCACTATTCCTGTTCATTATAGTAACGGTCCCAGCCAATGCAACACGACAAGAAAAAGAAAAAATAGAGGACATACAGATTATCAATGAAAAAAACTAAACTGCCATTATCTGCAGATGACATGATTGTCTATTTAAAAAATCCCCTCAAAGTTACTAGGTCTAGTGAGTTTAGCAAGACCACAGGATATAGGTCAATATACAAAAATCAGCTGCATTTTTCCCTACTTCACATTATATATAAAAATTAACTCAAAATGGATCAAGAACCTAAATGTAAGAGCTAAAACTGTAAAATTCTTAGAAGAAAACAAAGGTGTAAATCTTAACAATGGGAGAAACAGAAGAAAAATAGATAAATTGGACATCAAAATTAAAAACTTTAGTGTGTCAATGGACACCAACAAGAAAGTGTAAGACAGCTTACAGAATGAAAGAAAATATTTACCAACCATGTATCTTATAAGGGACTTCTATGTAGAATACATAAAGAATTCTGATAACTCAATAATTAAAAGACAATTTAAAATGGGCCAAGGATTCAATAGACACTTTTCAAAGAAGATATACAAATGGCCAATTAACACACGAAAAGATGCCCAACATCATTAGCCACCAGGGAAATGCAAACCAAAATCACAATGAGAACCATTAATAATAGGATGGCTAGAATCAAAAGGACAGATAATAACAAATGGTGGTGAGGATGTGGAGAAACTGGAATCCTCATATACAGCTAATAGAAATGTAAAATGGTATAGCCTCTTTGGAAATAGTCTGGAAGTTCCTCAAATAGTTAAACACAGAGTTACCATATGTGTCAGCAATTCCACTCCTCTGTATATACCCAAGAGAAATGAAAACACATGTTCGCACAAAAACTTGTACATAAATGTTCATAGCAACATTATTCATGATGCCTAAAAACTGGGAAATACCCAAATGTCCATCAATACATGAATATGGTATACTTGTGGACTGGAATATTATTCAGCAATAAAAAGGAACAGAGTACTGACACATGCTAAAACACAGATGAACCTTGAGTGAAAGAAGGTGAAAGAAGCTAGGCACAAAAGGACACTTAATGTGTGATTTCATTTATTTGAAATGTCTAGAATAGACAAATCTACAGAGACAGAGAGTATTTTACTGGATACCTAAGGATGAAGGGAATGAGGGGATGGGGGGCAGCTATTAACAGGTGCAGTGATGAAATTGCAGTGCTGGCTACACAATTCTATGAATATATTAAAAGCCATGGAATTGTACACTATAAACTGGTGAATTTTATGGTCTGAATATCTCAATAAAGCTTTTATCAAAAACAAACAAACCAAAATCCCCAAATCTCAATCTCTAATCTTCTCTAAGATTTCAAGTCACTGTGAATCAATTGCACCAGGCGTCTCAGACTTTGCATGTTGAAAACTTAAACTGATTTCACACCTACTCCCCTTGTCATAGCAACACTATCATTCAGTTATTTAAACAGAACTTGGAATCATTCTATTCCCTGACTCTCCTTAAACTGATTACTATATAGGCTATCAAGTTTACTTCTTCAGCAGCTCCTGAATATGACTCCTTCCTGCCTCAGCTTTATTTTAGGCCCTTAGAATTTCCTGCCAAAATTTCTGCAAAAGTCTCCTAAATGATCTCACTGCCTCATCTTGCCTTTCTCCAAGAAATCCTCACTGCTGCCAGAGTAAGTTTTTATAGAATACAAATACAACCTTATCAATTGCCTACTTAAAAATCCAAACTCCTTCAAAACCATCGAACACTCTCAGGACAGGACAAATTTCTCTGGCTGCCTCCTCGTCCATAACCCTCTAGCCATATCCCAACTTTTAGCCAACTTTATACCCCACTACTTACCGTTGTGTACAGTCTTCTTTTTATCTGTGGTGCTCCTTCCCCTATTCTTCACTTGGTTAACTACTGTTTACCAGTCCCTAAACTGGATAGACTTCTGGGACCCTCCCCTGATCCCTACAACTAGGTGTTAGGTAGCTTCCTTTGTCCCTAAGCATTCACTTAGCATACCGTATTTATATGTTTTCATCGTTCCTCATTAGACAATGAATTGCTTGAGGGCTTTCATCTCTATATCCTTAGCATATGCTAAGTGCTCAAAACGAATGAATGAATGAGTAAATGGTAGAACTGGTGTTATCCATCATCTTTAAAATCACCTAAGAGCTAGTATTTAATAGCTCATCCTGGATTGCCATTAAATCATATACATGAAAATGCTAGGCTACCCCAAATGAATCATTATGTTTAAAAGCTATTCAACATTTACATATATGACTTAATGAGAATCTAGTGACATTTAAAACTTCAGAATAGGCAATATGTTATAGGGTGAAAGTGGGATTTGACTTACCTTGACCACATCAGCTTTATGTTTTTCTAAAACTTGAAGAGTTTGGGCAGTATTGGAATCGATCACTACCACAAGCGAGTGACATCCATAAGCAATTAAACCTTGCCAGCCCCTAACAAAACAGTGATATTAAAATTTGAGTACAAAACAAAGACTTAACTTCTCTCTTGCCAAGAGGCATGCTAAAATAAATCACAAATCTAATACGTACTACCATTAATAAAATTATTATTGAAGCATAAAGGCCAGTTTTGTTTTGTTTTTACCTTATCCCATTTAAATAAAATGTCTAGCTAAACTAAAAATGTTGACATTTGTTTTTCATGTGGATAAAAAAGGTTCTAAGAGACATGCATATACAGCCCCGGAGATGCACAAAGCAACCCCTGTCGCCTATTTGTCTTATTCAACTTCGAATCCTGAGCACTCACAAAAAAAAAGTGCCTGAGATCATGTTCCGTAGGCATCTGTGACCAGTCCTGGTCCTTCCAACCAGACAAAAAGACAAACACTGGACAGGAGGTTTCCTCGCTCTTGCCAACATTCCCAGCAGCCCCAGCTACAGAATTTCGCTTTCCATCTAAGTATTAATGTTCGGAGTTCAGTGTTAGTTTACGGTGGAAAGGTCAAGGTGAGATGACAGGTGAGGGTACAGGCGACCAGCACCGGCTCTAGGTTGTGGAATGACTAAAGGTAAGAAACAGGGAGATGAAAGAGAAAGAGAGAAGGAAAAGACAAACCGGGGAAGAGACACTGGGCAGGGGAGTTTGACGGTGGAGGGAGAGGAGCCTGGATGTGGGAGGAGAGGTCAAGACAGGCGAGTGCGATGGGAAGGCAGGCTTGGGGAATGAGCAAAGAGAAACACATTTGGGAGAAACAGGGCCACTACATTTGCACAGGGAAGGTTCACACATGGGGCATTTACTCTCTTCATAGTAACAACAAAAACCCAGCATTTAAAGAAAACCTCTAGCGCGAGGGCAGCACCCAGGCTCGGCGAGGCCAAATGAACCGGGGGGTGAAACCTCCTGTTCCCCTTCCCTACACACTCATGGCCGAACCCGGTGTCCTCCAAGCCCGGCGCCCTCACCAGTCCACCGCCGCCTTGTTGTGAGCATTGAGGGCCCCGGTGAGGGTGCGCGCCGACACCTTGAAGTTCACAGTGAAGGGCAACATCGCCTCGGCTCAACGCGGCCCTCGGCGCCCACCGGCAACCAGGAAGCGGCGGCCACTGCGCTTCCGTTACCAAAAGAGTCCGGGTGGCTCTGTGAGCGCCGCCGTTTGGTTCCGTCAAAAGCAAGTTTCCACCACCTCGGATTCCGCCTTCTTCGGGTTCCGGTCTCAGCGGTTCAGCCTCGCTCAAGGTCTGGCCGCCCAGCTGGCGCTGCCAGTCCGAGGAGCGCGGGGCTGTGCTTTGGGGGCAGCGGGGCTGCTTTCCATTGGGTCTGTTTTCTTCACGTTGGGACTGCGTAGGCCTCTGTACCCTGCAGGAAATCGTGAAAAGCAAGAGCTGAAAGTCCCCATTAGCCTTTCTGACTTTGATCTATTAGCTCAGGACAACGACCAAATGCCAGGCACTGTCGTAGGCATCAGGCGTGAGGCGAAGACACGGCCTCCGCTCTCAAGAAGTTTATAGAACAAATATAGGAATAGGACTGGATGAAATGATTAGAATGCATGAGATGAATGGCTCTAATATAAACAATTTCTAAATATGGAGATCACTCCACATCTGGTCTTGAAAATACTTGAAAAAATACATTACTCCTGAGGCCAGCTGCTTGTCGGGGGCAGCTTTCATTTTGCAGTTTCTCCTCTGTCTCCTCTCCTTCAAATCAGACTCCATCTCCCTCTCCTCTGTGCTCAGCACATCATCTATACTGTCGGCCAATAAGAAGAGTGTGTAAAGCAACTAAATTATTTATTTGGGATTTTACGGATCGTAATCCCTGGGGCACAGAGTCCGCTGAAATAAAATGTATTCTCTGAATTGCCAGGGAGCAGGAGCTCAGTCTTAAAAAGGCAAAAACTGCCAGGTTACATACTTGTTTGGAAAGAATTAAGATTGGTGCTGGCAGAGTTTACGGTGACCATCCGATATATGTTTAGATCTTTAGCTAACAGGTATTATATTATCTTTATTACGGTTCAAAATAGAAGGATGTATTCCAGGAGGTGGTAGAGTTGGAACTGACAAAAGTCGGAAGTTCCTGGTGTTCCCAGGATTGAAACAGGAGAGGGGCATACATCCTGCTACTTCTGCCCGCATCCACAACCTCTCCACTCTGTTTCAACTGACTGTCTTAACAATCCTTACTTCATTTCGAATCTTTCACAATACCCTTTACTGTAACACTTGCCATGATTTCTTTCCAGCAATAATTTTGCCAGATGTCTGTTTCTTCTCCAATGCATTCAACAAAAGGGACAAAATAATTGGTAATTTTGTCATTTTAGGTTTTTGCGTCCACCTCACTCTGAGAAAACAGCTTTCTCAAAGATCACCTCCAATACCATCTTAGTTGTTGAAGCCAAAGAACGCACTTTGTCTCTTAGTTGTTCTCTGGCAACTGTTGTTGCTTCCCTTTCCTTTCCTGTCCCACATCCTTCCCTACTGATGCTTTTGGGGCAACCAGAGATGCCAATAACCACAGGTCTAAATTTACCACTCCCTTATTAAAAATCTTTGATGCTTCCTGACAGAGATTGCTAATTGGCTCCCCAAATTCATTTTCCCCTTCTTTCATAGGAACAGAAGCACAATTTGTATCTGAGCACACTATCATTCCATGAAATGAATACATATCCCACCTCCCGTTACAACCAGATCAAGCCATAAGACTAAATTCTGGCCAATGTGATGTAAGTGGACATATTGTATAGTGGCCTCTGAGAAATAACTCTTCTGTGCTGTACTGTGTTATTTCAATATACATACCCCACATGATTGCTATCTGCGTATATGTCTGTCAAGCAGGGGAGACTAACATATTTTTAAGCAACTGCAATATAGGAGAAAAAAATACGCTCCACTAGACTTAGAATTCCTTTTCAGAAAGGAACCAAATCCCAATCTTTCTTTGTCCCCAATGGCAACCACGAGATGACAAAAAGGAGTCAGTGATGGCACTCAAGCCCTGATTGACCTTATGCTTACGGCCATTTAAAACTCCTGCTCCATTAATCACTTATTGAGGACCAACTGCATGCCAGGAAGAGTGGTTGCCATTGGGGACAAAGAAGGATTGGGATTTGGTTCCTTTCCTCAACAAATGAGACTTGTATTAGTAATAGAAGGGCATTAAAAAGACCTGTAGAGTATTGCATACAGTGCATGGTTTCCACGGGCTCGTGCACACAGAAGAGCTCGAAGACGTTTGGACAAGTGTGAAGGTCAGAAATTGAGCAGGACTGCCAACAGTGTGCCTGACTCGACTTGGCATCTGTTCATCTTTCCTTGGATTTTTTCCTTAAACACCTTCTGCCCACGCCTTACTTCCTTGCGAATGATCATCAGCCTGATTTATTATTTGGCTACTGTCATTACTGATCGCCTCTCACATCTACATACTACAAGTACTTATGACAGTACAATGGATTAGTTGTTGTACTTTGTGACATGGTAATAGAGGTTTATTAGACTAAAGGATGTTTTCGGAGAAAAACAGTCATGGTGAAATGCATTTCTCCCAAGTAGGTTGTGTGAGGGATGTGCTACTCTTAGACCCTTAGCACAGGAGGGGCAGTGGGGTATTGCCTGAAATGGGGAGGGCTTTGCCGTTAGACAGACACAAGATCTGTGACTTTGGATGATTTTAGGGGATAAAAATACCACATGTAAGATTCTCCAATGTAATGGCTGTCCTGGCTACTAAGGATGAGGACCCAGGTCACCCTTTGCCTCCTAGTAGCTCATTCTGGCCCTTTATCTCTTTCCAGCTGGTCTACAAAATTGACCTGCCAGCATATCTCATTCCTGGGGCCACTTAGGTTCTGTGAGTGCACGTTTATCCAGTTATTGGCTGTTTTTAAAGGAAGAATAAACTAGAGGACTTTCTTATTTGATTTTTCCATCAGAATTTTATTAGTCCAAGTAAACAGTACTTTAACAATGTGTTCACAGAATAGCTTTTCATAAATTAGATTAACCTAACAAGATTGTTTCTGGTACATGATCATGATTTCTGGGGGAAAAATGATTCTATTGATTTCTTGCTCTTAACGAGCTTGGACTTTGGTGGAAATAGATTGTGAGCCACTCTAACAGGTTTACGGACTTTATAATGCTGTCTGGTCTTTCACAGGATCCACTAATTGTTGCAATTAAAAATAAATGCCAGTTTGTCTCTGTTAACTTTGAATCTCTGAGTGTCATACTTGCGTTTCTGCCCAGGGTAGATGACTGACTTGTAATTCAGATTTGCCCTGTAATGAGGCTTGAGTGTGGATGGACTGAATCAGGAGACTCAGATGCCAGCATAAAACCAAGGGGGCTCCTACCACCCTGACCTATACTGAAAGTGTTTATTCAGAACCATCTTGTTTCACTCTTTTGAAATATGAAAAACAATATAATTTTTAGAAAGGTATCTGTAATCTTCACTTGCTAGTGTATCTATTATCATATTTACACATTTTCTCCCAGTTGTTCAAATGAAGATGTATTTTACATAGTTGCCTAATACACCTACATCTTGTCAATCTTTTTCTTTGAACATTCTATCAAAATTATATTTATAATATTTATGTAGTCATCATAATTATCATTTGAGTGACTCCACAATATTTGGTAGAGTGGACTTATTTAGTTACTCCACTGTTGCCTGATACTTAAGTTATTTCCATTTTTTTTAAATAATGAAAATAAAGCTGCAGTAAATATCTTTATGCCTATAGTTGGTTTTCATTCTATTAAGTTATTTCCCTAAAATAATTCATAGGAGCGAGTATAACTATCTCTGTTTCACTAAAAATTTCTAAATCACAGAATAAATAAATGTAGAAAATGTGGGAGTCTTAGAAAAGCATAAATACAAAAAAGTCAATTTTATGATCACTGGTCAGATTGGCTTCTTTGAGGTGACTGTGTCTTCCTTTTAAAATGCATACATGTTTTAAGGGCGCCTGGGTGGCTCAGTGGGTTAAAATGCATACATGTTTTATTTTTTGTAAAATAGAGGTCATGCTATAAGCACTATTTTTACTCTCCCCTTTCCCATGCAATAATCAGATGTAATCATTTGTAAATATATTCCACTTGGTAACCAGATACCGTCATTTGCAAGTATTTTCCTAATTTAATCTGCCCTTTATTTTGTGAAATTTTTTGAAATACAGGAATTTCATGTTCTTTAATGGAAAAAAAAAAACAGTCATTGTTTTTGCCCCACTGCCGTTTGACAACACGGTGTTCTGCATCAGTCACAGTGTATCTGGCTCTAGGCCAGGTGTCAGTCACAGAAGCTAATGAAAAGGAACCATTTTTGAATGGTTATCCTCAGGTGATAAGCCAGGTAGCAGGCGGAGGAGGTGCCATCCTTCCTCCCCTCTTACTCTGCTCCTCTCACTGGCCTGCTCAAGTTCCCATGGGGGCATTGATGTAATAGGAGCTGTATCCTAGAATTATCATTTACTGTCTACATGGACCCTGCGGGGAGCCTGGGCTTCACAGCCTCACCTTGCCTGTGAGTCATCGAGCCCCACACCTGGGAGGCTGGTTCAGGTGACCAGAGACTGCCACCAGACCCACACATCTGCCTCAGGACACACCTAGCTGGGTGGCCGCCAAACCAGCTGATTAATGACAAGTGGGCTCCTACCTCTGAAGGATGCTCTCTGGAGGGTGAAGTTAATGCCCAGGGGTTTCCAGCCAAATTAACTAGGAAAGTCAGACCTGACTTTGCTATGTGTCAAGTTCCTCACATCTGTCTCGTTTGCATGAAGGGTTTCAGCAGAAAGTGGAGAAGGAAAATGGCCATTAATCTTCTCGTGGGTAGAATGTAGTTGTTATAAAAGTCAATTCTCTGTCAGATCAGGCTTCAGTTTCACTTAAGATATTTTAAAAAGGAGAGCCACTAGGATTCTTGCATAATTGTAGAAAGGGACATTCTATAAAACTTGATGAGCTAAATACTGCTATTTATTGAGAAGCAGTTTATTAAATGGAAATTCGTGCTTCTGATGATATATATATGTGTGTGTGTATGTATAAAATCACAAATATAAAAAATATATAAAA